ACTATAAGAAGCAGTGTTCTCATCTGGTTGGCTGAGTCATCATCAATAGTTGCCGTCTAGAGTGGAAAAAAGTCTAGATTGAGTTTCAGTTCTTTTATTTGTTTAAAGTGCATTGTGTTGTCATGACGATGGAATTTACCTCATTGACGAACATGATGGGGAATATGGTCATATTGAGATGTTTGGTTTTGCTGAAATGGAGAAAAGTTGGAGGTCAGAAAGGACTGCAAGCTCAACATGTGAAAATTAGGCCAGGGAGGCAAAAGTCATGTTTGAATTCAGTTCACCAAAGTTCAACTTACGGGAATCCTGGGACACGCTTCATAATGATATTAAGTTGGGCTCTCTTACAGGCACGAATTGGGACACCAGTTGTCTAAAAAAAATAAAGTCATAAGTTTATTATTTTATACTTTGTATAAATATTGTAATTTGTAACATTGGCCTTGTTCCTATGCACAAAATCTGATTATAATCTGATTTCTGGACCTTTAAGATTACGGATAACTTTAGATGCAAAATCTGATGTGAGTATCAAAGGGATTATGGTTACATTTCTTCATTACATTAATCAGATTTTGAGTGTGCATGTAACCGTAGCCAGTGTGAAAATTCCCACAAAAAAAATAAACATACAGGCTGCAAGTCAAGGTAAGTCTCATGTTCTTCCTTGTTTGGGTTGAGTCCTTCAACAGCATTAATGTAGGCAGGGTCAGCTTGGTAAAAGTGAGGAAATGACACCACGATAGGAGCTCCTGAGAACAGAAATGTTGATGGTTGTTAATGTTTGAAAACATCATAAAATGGTCACATAAGAAAACTATGTTGAAATGTCCAGAAAACGTGTGGTTTAAACCAAGAAGTTTAAAACAAAAGTAGTCCTAGCATGTGCAAGAGCTTACAGTAGCATATTCATCAATGAAACTACAGCTACAGTGAAGCTTATCAAAGGCCATCACGGTAACAGTCAATGGCTACTATAATGTCCCTTAATAGCCACCACAGAGTTAATCATTGAACTGTGCATTGAGTGGAATCAGACATGCTCAAACAGTGGGAATGCCAAAGAGCGAGCAGTGCAAATGAATGAAAGAACAATTTCGGGGGGACTGAAAAGGGGGCAACTCTGTCATGTGGCAGTCCTCTCATCAAAGGGAACTTGTAAGTGGGTCAGAGGGCTGTGTTTGACGAAGGGGTTAGCGTGTGTGTCTTAAGAGGAGAACACGCATGGTCCTGTTACCTTGACGGCAAACGCTGACTTTAAGCACGCCGGTGCCGAGACAGTCTCCAGCTGGCACACAGAAGCCCTCATTAGTTGGATTGTCTTTAGGGCTCATGAGAACGTCACTTGGGGGGGCAAAGCGGTACGCCTGGATGCCCTTTACCTCCACATCCTTCACATAGGCTAAATGAATAGACCTACACAAAAGGGGGTAAATTGGTTATATAAGATACACATTAGAAGTAGGGATGTTGCGATTATACAGTTATACAAATCAGTAATAATTGTGATGAGGTCAAACCTAACAAAGTAGTTTCTTGTTTATGTCACATTAACTTTAACATTTACTTTATTATTCAGAAAATTTTATATTTTATAAAGTTGGTGGCATAATTGAGGAATGGTGATGTATAGATAACGTGACTTTAAAAAAAATTAAGCTTTCAATGTTTAATTAATTAATTAATTAATTAATTAATTGTTTGATCCTGGTGTAAATCGTAAATTGTATTTTTAGAATAAACTGTAACACTAAATGCCAATATTGTGATAGTTAAAAAGTAAAAGATGAAGCATTGTACTTCACCTACAAACATGTTATTGTTTTAGCCCACGTCAACATTTAGCCAATCCCTAATGAGCACTGATTAGAGACACGTTTTATTGTCCTTATCAGTGGCAGGTTTCCTTGAATATATCTTTGACCAATCACAGTCACCAGTAAACAAATCTACAATAGTACACGTGAATACCTGCACAGATCAGCAGCAAAGATGTAAAGCAGCTCGTTTCTGTTTATCAGAGGGTGGAACACTGCACCATCTGTACCATTGATCATGTTGCTCTGGTTCGAAGACCACCATGACATCTCCCTTTAGAGGAAAGAGAATTTTGCAGTTAGCATTGTGTAAATATAAACCAGAATTTGCTCACTCATACAAGATTTTAAGTACAAAGTCACTTCAGCCATGCAAACATTAATTTTGCAATTCTTTCCTAGAAGCCACAAAGCAATGTGTCGACTCTGAACTTACATTTACTGGTTGTGTAACACTGCACTCAATTTTACGAGCATATAACAACTTTTAAATTACACTTTACCTCAGGCCATCCCAAGTGTCGATCTTGCCATAATCCAGGTAGTTTTCTTCACCAGTATGGAACACAAATTCACCTTCATGGGTACCATTTTTCTGAAAACAGCAGACACAATACACATTCAATGTATGGCCAAAATGTGAACTTTACAACATGTTCTGTAAATGACTGTGTGCCTGTGTGTTTTTGTAAAACCAGAATCAGCGTAATTTATCATGAGACATCAACACCAAGAAAAACTGACCACACACTTGTTCCTCATGACAAGCTTCCTCAGTTTAAGTCCTGACTACAGCTGTCTGTATACGGGCCTTTATCGTGTATTACCCTAAAGTAAACCTATTAGAAAGGCAATTGGCTTACCTTCCACATAAGGCCAAAATACTCGTCCACTTCAGGCTTCATGGAGTGGACTTTAGTGAGAATGGGGTCCTTAAACCCCCACAGAACCTCGTGCACTGTGCGCGTCATGAACAACTCCACGCCCAGGCTGTTCATGTACATAGATACCAATGTTCGGAGAAAAAAAGAGTAGGAGTTCAGCTGGTCCATTACAACCTACCAGAGACATAACAGTGGATTTAATCAAAAACATGAAATAATTTTGTCTGCAATTAAAAATTACAATATAAAAAATATATACCACAAATGGGATGTTAACTGTCCTGATAATGTCCACAGTGGGGTCACCAGCAGACTTCTCAGGCACAAAAACAAAGGTTTTGGGGTTAACAGCATAAACCTTGGTACCATTCTCCAAGAATGTTACATTTTCTCTTGGCCTGTATTCCCTTCATTATAGAAAAAAAAAAAGGTTTTGATGTTAATGCTGGACGAAATTTTTGATTTTTAATGAATGTTTTACAGAGCTCTGCATACCTGTATGTATAAGGTCCTATTTGTTTGACTGATGCCTTGCCACCCGCTAAAAACACCTCTGGGTTGGTCACGTTGAAAAAGTAATATTCCATGTAAACAGGAGGAGGGGGGTTCTTCCAAGACTCAAATACTTGGCTCTTCTCTGTCAAAGTTATTTCCTACAAAGACAAAAATAGACATGTTAATATAATAATCTTATAATCAAAATTACATGGGACATTACTTCTTGAGATAATGACAGTTTCCAAGAGAATGAGAAAAAGCGTGGAGAAATAAGAGCAAACAGCAAAACACCATCTTCCATGAGCAAGACTTTAAATGAACCATCTTTGATGTGCTAAAGTAATCTTGCATCATTTGAATAAGTGAAACACAAGAATAAACAACAAGAAGGTTTGGGGAGAGCAATACTGTTAAATAGAGTTGAGTATCCATGCCTGGTGGAGCAGATTGCGACATACAGTAGATTGCCATATGTGTAAACAAGAGGCACCCTCCTCTCACTCAATACTGAAAGGATATGTGAACCAACCTTGCGTTCACAGACCTTGATTGTTATCAGTCAGGAAAAGAAGTCTTTCTGAAGGTATTTTGGGATCTCGAAAAGAAAAATAGCCCCCTTCCTTCTCGTCTTTTATGGTTAGTTCCGGGAAACCCTCTGTTCCACAACCATAAGTGGCAGTACATTGTTCTTAGTGGTCTCTGAGGCCATTGCTCCTAAAGGCAATATATGCTAGGTGTGGTGGACGATTCCTGTTTGGCTTACAAAGCCAAGTAGACATGCATGTTTAACTTATCTACAGAAATGTTCAATAGGTCTGGCTCAGCCCTTTTCAACTTCACAAAAGGCAGGATAAATGTCAAATGGGTCACTCAAAGAATATGCTTTGATCATCAAGCATAGGATTAGAAGCATACATTCGGTATTGTCTCTAGAGATTTAGCTTCTACAAATATATAGAATAAATTACACATTTTGTGAAACCTAAACAGAAATCTATTAAAACAAAAATATGTTGAGGAATTTAAATGGCGGCCTCCATTTGTCCATTGCTTAAAATTAACTATATGGGAAGAAAACTTTATGAAAAGCCAACTTACAGACAAGATGTAACACATAAACTGACTGTTTGCCGACTTCAACTGTCTCCATTAAGTTGTGTACGTTTAATATCCAACTCCCTCTTAGCAATGTTTACAATGCAAAACATAACATAAAAACACAACAACATTTTTGATTGAGAAGGCTTCATTGTCCATGTGAAAACTCTAGGAAAAATTCCCAAACAATGGTCAAACTTATTGCAAATTATATCATTCATGAAAGAAGTTGGTCAGCAAATGAGTGTTTATGACTGGAAACTCGTGTTGATGTAACCTCATCTTTAGACAGTCCCACTATTCATACTACCACAGACTATGAAAAACATAATTTAGAGGACGTGCGTATTTACTTCTCAAACTCAACTGTTCTCGCTGAAGTTTGAACAACAAGAGAATACAAGGCTGTTCTTAGGTTAAAATTGTGCCCTCAGGCTTCGAGTTTTGTCAAATTCCTCACATGACATTCCCACTACTGGCTTCCACACCCAGCTCCCAAGCAAGTCAGGAAATTGCCTCTAATGCATCTTTTGTTAAAACACAACAGAACAGAACTATTGGTAAACTTACATACAGCAAAGGGTAGATTTTAAATCATTTCAACATGTAATAGCATGTCACCAGCAGTTCAGCGAAAAGCAGGTTTAGGCAAGCTGTCATTCTGAGTAATTGCCAGCTACATGAGAATTTCATCTGATGAACTTTGAGTAGTTTAAGATATATCCACTGGGATGGTGCCATAATTAAGAATAAAGCCTTGGTTTGACAGTTAACAGGAGAAAAAGAGCAGCCCTATTGCAGCTGCTTCTTAAATCTGAGAAGCAATAGTGAAATTTATTTATATGGGTTTATAGTTTAATAAAAAACATGCAAAAAAAACTTAAAAGCAAATTTGGTGAGATCATAAAACATGTTATCAGAAGTCTGTGGGACCTAAAAAGTGATTCACGTCAGCAGGAGGAATGCAAACTATTTTAAAGGGCAGACAGGAGCAATTGATTGGAAGGGGTGGGTTACACAGTCAGCTGCTAAAACTCCCCTGCCACAGTATTTCATCACCTGCACTAAGTTAAAGAGGGAGGGAAAATGACTTTGATCTCTCAAATTTCTGACAAAAATGCACAGTCAACACATGTTAAAGATGATAACAATTAGTCAGTTGTGTTTGCACAAATTAACAGTAAACAAAAAGATGCTGAAGTGTTGTGAGAGTGAATGACTGCTACAGCCTGCACAGTCACCAATGCAGGCTCCCTTCCCCCCCCCCATCCCTACCCATACTCCCCCACCCTGCTGGCTAAGATTCCACTATTACTACTCTTTAAAGCAGCTAACCGGTCAGAGAGGATTCACGCCTGCATCAACAAATGTGTCATAAGGTCAAGCCAAAAACACAGCATTAGACTGATTTTAGACTAAATTCACATGTACAGTGGAATTGGGTCTATGTGGGTGTCATTTATTTGATATAGAACCATTTAAATCCTGTCGTGAGAAGTCATGCATCACAGAGGTTGTAGGAATGGCAAAAGGGTGAAATAAAATGAATAAGGTCTCAGGGCTTCAAACACAAGTTCATAAAATAAGAATACGAACCGGATTTTGCTTACGGATACAGGAAGTCAATTTATACTGCAGAATAAGCCACAAACCTGTGTAACTCTGAAGTTCCAAGGACAGATTTAAAATGAAGGATGCTCATGTGGTGAGTAATTTAGTTTGACAGTAGAAGACTTGTCATGAATATCATTTCACATCACATAAAGGTTACCTTAATGTGGAGCTTACCTTTTTCAAGCGACTGTGAATCATCGTTTGGAAGACTTGAGCCACGACCAGGGCGATCCCCACTATGAGGAGGTGAGCACACACGATGCCGGTGGCGTAAATGGCACATGATCTCCGGGTCATGCTGAATGAGGTTGCGCTGTCCTCTGGACCGGGCAAAACTTCACTGAAGTCGCAAATAAGTCTCTATGGTGGCTAGAGACAGAAAGACGATAAGGCGTGGGTCTGTCCTCTGGTGCTGGAGCAGCTGGGTTTCAACTTCTCAGCTACCGCCTGTACCGCAAGTCCACCGGCTTCCTCTTGGCGAGGCTGGAGAAAGAGTATCAAAAATGTTGGCACTTGGAAAAATGAACCACTAACCCTAAAGCTGGCACCTAAATCGTGGTGCTGATGCGCGGCTGCTGAAAGGAGGCGATGGAATGAAGCGGCAGCAGTTTAAAGCTGTTGGTTCAATGAAGAGTAACCCTCCTCCTCCTCATCCCCGCCCCTTCCTCTACTATTTATCAGGCCGGGCACTGGGCAGTCTGGACGCGACATGGGCTGTGGCCGTATAGAATACAGGACAGTCTGAATTTGAGAATGACTTGCTTGGATGATTTACGTGACTACTTTAACATATATGCCGGCGTTTTCCCGTGGAAAAGTGACCTGATAGATCCATACGACTAGACTGTGTAAAGTTTATAAGCTACAATGGCGTGATTAAGCCCAAAACACAAGCACAACAGAAGGTGATTAAATGAATTAATGGTTGCGTGCAGGTCCACATGGACCTGCGGTTTGCTGTCCCACCTGGGGACATTTAATGAGATGCACAAGGGAGGGTTAGTGCCATCCTTGTAGAAATTGTTTTTCACATTAGAATAAAATAATATGTTATAACATTTAACTTTGCCATACAACTCACACAAGCATACAGAAAAAGATAACGGATTCACTGGTTCACTTCACCGCGTTTCCTTAAATATGCCCAGCGTGCGCATATATATGCACCATTCAAGCAGCCAACGAGTGTTGACGTGAAAGCTTTGTGTGACAATCTCTGGCACGGATTGGCTGCCGCACTCACGGACCACCGTCTCGAGACCACTCCTTTGTCTTCTGATTGGACGAAAACTGGCGAGTTCGATGTAGAATTTCATCGACTGATTTTAAGGCGGGGCTACTAAAGGGGGAGCCGACAGCGTGATGCTCTGCCCAAGCGGATCTGCAGATGATGAGCGGCTGGGCGCAAATACGTTGTGGCAACAAAAGTGCTGTAATGTGTGAACAGAGGAATGTGCTTGATTCACAACATGCTAACAACCTCCTGTCACTCTTTGGGGTTTCTTCGTCTTTGTACCAAAGAGAGGTACTGTTGGGGTTGTCAAAGATTTGAAACCCTGGAGTGTCAGAAGGTTATACATAAAATCAAATAAATAGTTGTGACTTTTTCAGTAAGCAGGGACAAAAGCAAATGGCACTACACTTGTTTATTTCCATAATTACTTTGCACTACTGCCAAATGGGAAACTTGTTATGGTAGAACTACAGCAGCAAAGTGAAGCCTACATTGTGAGTTTATTTCTAAAACACAAGAAACCAAAATACGCAAATGGTACATAAAACTACAGGCATTTAGATTTTTCACACATTTAAAACAACATTTGGATGTAATGATTTAATTTTATATATAAATTGAAATTGAATTTAATAAAGATATTTTCAGGATCAACGTTACATAAACTGACTTTTCTCTGGTGTCTTGAAATGCCTTTATACACAGCTCGTGACTGTGTAGTACTCCCAATCATGTGTGACTAACAGGACATTGGCAATAATGACCCTACCTACTTTATTGGACCTAACCTTTGGCAAGACTTATACTCACATCCTTATCTGAATTTGAAAATGAATTTAGGCTTCTCAGTTGAGGCCTGCAAAATCAAAACATAAAATAAAGCTAACATAAGCAGCAGTTGAAGGTGAGTGCGGTCATTGAGTTGACTTTTACATAACCCATTCATAAATACTTCAAAAACGTAATTTTCCTCAGGTAGTCATATTCATAACATCTTTTGATACTGGCTGGAAGGAAGTGTTTGGGATTTGGGTTGGCCTTCTAACATTAATAGAATTGAGTGTTACCTCATTGTGCTGTGTGCTATGGCAGTCCAAGAGGATGGGGTCTGCAGAGGGGGGTAGCATCTGTCCAAACAAGAGAAGCAAAAAATGCAAAAGAAAATCATCAGGGGGGAAGCACAAAGTAATGCAGAAATATTGTCTGGGACAGTGACAAGGTGAAACTGTCCAACCTCTGTGATCATGTTTTATTATGTTTGGTTAGCAGAACAACAGTCATTTTTCATTCTATTTGGAGAGATCTGGAACATCAGAGCACTTTCAAAATACTAAATGTAGGGCTGCAACTAATAATTATTTTGCCAGTTGATGAATCTATAGTTGTTAAAAATGTGAAAGGCCTATGAATGAGATTTTTACAGTTTGCCCAGAAAAAAGCTGATTTCCTGATGTTGCATAATGACAGTGTGTTAGTCAAAAACACAATGTATACATTTCCTGTCATTTTCATGTAATTACAGTCCTGGAACCTCCTTTTGCAGTTCATGCCATGTTATGGAATCAGTTAACCATTATTGAATTACTAAATGAATGAACATTTATTTCAATAAACGATTAGTTGTGAATAAATGATTGACTTATTGCGGCCCTAGTTAAATGTAAAACAAATATGTGAACTTTGTTTGTCTGTAAAAGCCCTTCAAGAGATGGAAACAAATTTGCCTTGGCTATAGTGTTTACATGTTTATACATATGTGTCTCTATCCATTTAAATAAATAAGATATATTTTGTCAGTGCCTGTCTATGTAAAATTATATTAAAACATACAGAGGCAAAAGAAGCTGTGAAGTGAAGGGATATCCAGAGGAAAAATGCTTTTCATTGTGCTATACTTAAAAAAAAAAAAAAAAAGTTTTGCTGTACTTTTTGAAAATCTAGCCAAAGCATTTCATGTCAGATAGAAAGATGATATTCTGCAAAATCATCATCCTCAAAAAAGTCCCATCTATGATTAAAGACCACACACACACACACACCACCAGTTCTTGTTTCAGTGTTTTAAACTTTGAATGTGTCCAAATACAAAAACAAGTAAGAGTGCTGCCCTTATCAAACACAATGCCTGTAAGGTAAAGGTGGTTACCCTTCAGTATTGTGAACACTAAAACAGGTTACTGCACACACAGTGAGTAAACATGCTTAAAGACAATAATCCAAGTTTAAATGGCCAAGAGTTTTCATCTTTAACCCTATATAAACAACAGCCAACGCCCAGCTAACAAAACATGCAGCAGCCATGCCTCAGGGGCAAATAATTGTGTCTGAGATAAAAAAAAATAAGGATGTTATATGTTCATCAAATTAGTAAAATTAGTCATCCAGATTTGAATAAACCTATATTTTAGGCTCCCATTTACTGTAAGGGCTCACCCCTTTCCATGTTCTAGGAATGGCCATCATAATACGGGCCACAATACAATAATACTACAATATGCTGCTTCATGCAAACGCTGATATATTGTACAAGTAAATTAATTGTTTATATAGTTGAATTTCTTTGTTAAACCATTACCTGCACATTCTGTTTATGAAATTATTCCAATAACATAATAGCAAAAGAATAGAGATATAGCTTTTTTTTGTGGAATAATCATTGCTCATGTGAATCTGTCAGCTGCTCTGCTGGCAAAACAAAATAAATAAAAAGCAAAGTTAAAGAATGACAGCCATTTTGGCCTGATGCAAGAGCTCTTTGGTAAGTAAGGGAGCCTCTGTAATCTACTGACTTTAAACATGTGTTCAAACTTTACAGAGGTCAACATTCAGCCTTTTTCCATAAACAGTTCCTCCACATTCTCATATCAGCGCTAGTGCAACCTCACTAATCCACTCTCTAAATACTATGTCTTGAGATGGTAAGCAATGTCATCCACCCCAAGGATTCTACTGCAGAGTGGTAGAGCCTGGTACCACACATTAAGTCACTGTAGACTCTAGGCAGAGACAGGCTTTGTAAGTACAGACACTGATATACAGACACTAGTGGGAGTGGAGGCTTGTAAGGCATGTTAGACCTTTTCAAACAAGGTGATTAAGGCAAAGCAATAAAAGTACGAAGGGAAGGGTACAAATTTACAAAATTTATTCCAGGCTTAATCTGCAGTTAGCTCTCCAAGGAGAAGGATTGGCGACGAAAGGAATTTAGAGTATTCTATCAGTCTGTGTATTATATTGTTTTAAATCTGCACAATCCTGCAAAATGTTGTATATGCTGTACTGCAAATATTCTAAGAGTACTTTTAATTTAAGAAGATTTCCATAACTGGCTAAGTGGGATCATTTCCCACAATTCAAGGCATGCATTTAACATAGCTGAGATTAAATATTTATGGACTCATTATGTATGTTCTTTTTTAATCACTTTTGCAATTTGAAAGCATTTGGGGCGTCCTGACATAGCCCCGCTGTCCCAGCACTTACGCAACAATGTATGCATTGTCCATTGTAAAGAAGCCTGAGAAAACATGTTCACAAGTTCACTTGTCTGAGTAAAATAGATGGAGAAAGCCTGAATTCACATGCTCCTGCAGCTGATGGGCCTACATCTAGAAAGATGACATCAACTACCACACAAATCATTCCCCAGAGAGATATAGGCCTACAGAATTAGATCGCAATGCAAACTGAATAAAATCTTCCTGTTTATTTATCTTCGAAATAATACAACTAAGTGTTCACCAAAAATTCACATGCATCTCCCCTGACACAATATACTCTGTAGTTAACATCTTAACAGTTGGGTTGGAGTGATGTGAGTTGTGGCTTCAGGTAGTGAATCATCATAACTACTAATGTTTCATTTTGTCAACTTGATCACAGGGCGTTGAGGAGTAGGGAAACAGGTGGCGCCACACCTGAGGTGCATCCTGTCCACTTCACTTCTTTTATTTACACAACCCTAGTGCTTTTTCATCTTCTTTAGCCTCCTGCTTTCCTAGGCCATTGTTAGCAATTGTGTTTAATATTGTTTTTCCAGGAAATCAGGTATAATGCTAAATTCACAGGTATTTCCAAACAAAAATATTTCCGGTGCACCAAACAAGTTTCCTTCAATTGTCACTTGTTTCTTGTCACTGAGTAATAGAAAGTCTCTGGGGGACAATTAAACATTTCCTATTGTTTCCATTTTGCTATTTTGGTGTAAAAGTGAAAAAAGGGAATTAATTTCATCATCTAAAAAAAAAAAAAATCTAACTGTTTATATTTAAGACCAATGGACCATGACCATATATCTATTTGCAGAGCTGTGACAATGATCGCACAAGTTGTTTTCCGAAATGTGCAAGTGGAGATGCATGCAAAGGAAATCCTCTATAGCTGGAAAAGTACACAATGTTATAAACTAAAAATACAGAGGATAGTAGTGGACATTTCCTTGTTGTAATTAAGTAGGATAGGGCGAAGAAATATATCTACAAAGTTCTTACAATTGTAATACTGTTGCCAAACAATTTAAGGTCTAACCATGAATGCCATAATATTTAATCTTTAGTAAACCAATGGAAGGTGCATTTTTAAGACTATCATTGATGTTTATGTGTTCCTTTTTTAGGTCTGTGAGTTATAAACACCACTGTACTTTGGTTCAAATGAGGGGAAATTTTTAAGTGAGTTGTGTAAACACTTAAAGGGCTCATATTACGCTGTTTTCTTCTCTGTTATAATGTCATTTCCTCATCACAAACATACCTGGAATTGTGTTTCATTTTATTAACACATGTTTAACACACACACCCTGCAAATTTAAGATGAATTCTTCCCTCAAAGAGAAAACATTCTTTTCCACCTTATGATATCATGTGACAATCATCTGGAGTTAAATGTAAAAGGTAGATGTCAATAATAATAATAATATAGCGCTTTTCTGGACACTCAAAGACACTTGACAGCGCATTATTCATTCACTTCACACCCGGTGGTGGTAAGCTATTATAGTAGCCACAGCTGCCCTGGGGCAGACTGACGGAAGCAAGGCTGCCAATCTGTGCCATCAGCCCCTCCGACCACCATCACTCATGCACACACCACTTTCATACTAGGCAATGTGGGTGAAGTGCCTTGCCTAAGGACACAAAGACATTTTTGTGACTGGCGCCCCCCTGTGGCACCTGATTTTCCCAGCAGTTTCCCTTCCAAGTAACTGGGCCCAGCCTTGCTTAGCTTCTGAGATCTGACAGGATCAGGCTTTGACAAGATAGTATGGCCACATGTTAACTTTAAAACTACCACTACATGACATCACAAGGTGGAAAAGAGCATTTTGAGCTTTTATAACATGTCTTAAAGCTCAAAAGAATCCATTTTGCGTAGAATAGGACTTTTAAATTCTCATTATATCAGAAGCAAAGAACCAGGCATCCCTATTTCCCATTTCCAACAGAAATGCCTGGATAGAAAATACTATCTTATGTGACTATAGCAATCTCTCATGGAGAGGCACAACTGCTGCATCATGCTTTCGTGTCACAACAGTCCTGTGACCACATCAGGAATGTAAAGACACACAAAGGAAAGCAGCCACAGAGATAAACAGCTATCACACAGTATAAACTCCTGTCCTTATTGCATACAGCCAGAAAAAGCTGTGTAACATGTGTAACTTATAAGTGCATAGAGCTTGGTGAGACTTCCTTCTAGGACTGTCATGATAATACATTTTCAAGAATGGCTTTCTACGGACATACATAAACAATAATATTACTGTATGCTACTTAATTATTAAGATTAAAATAAAGCAAGCATAATCCCAGCATAGCCTTTTAAAATAATTAACTTTATTCAACCCTCTACAGCTCAAATTGTATTGTATTACAATTAAAATAACAAAAATCTGCAAATAAAAAGAAAAAAAAAATATATTTATTACTATTGCAGCTATCATACACTGAAAGATAAACCTATAGTATTTTTTGTGACAGGCCTACTTCCTTCAATTACAATCAAACTGGTGGACAATATTCTGTTTTTATTACAACATATTTGAGTTACGGTGTGTATAGGCTATAGGCCTATAGTTGTTTAGCTAAGCTCAATGCAATCAGAAAGAAAATCTAACAGAACTTACTTACTATTGTTCTAAAATATGAACTACTTTACTTTTATCTTTTAAAATTATCATCAAGAACACAATGACATCAATGGCAGGCTACACCTGAAAGAACTCACTTCCCCAAAATGAAAAACTGCATGGAACTCCTGTTGTTTTTATTGTTATGCAGTGACAGCCCTCATTCTCTGTGACTTTATGTAATTCTACTATTTAAAACATAGATTTTCTTGTCTTTGTGCTAGTGATATTCTTCTTAACAATGTTCAGTAGCCCACTTAAAAATATGCTTATTAAATTAATTAAAATTAAAATTAGTAATCCAGGCAGATAAGGTAATCAAGCTTCACCTCATTTCTATAAAGCTGTCTGTTCACATGTTAGTAAATATGAGTTTAGCCTATGTTAGATTAAAACATAGTTGTGTGTTATAGAGCCTTCTCCAAATCACTACTGTTGTTGTTTTGCTGTTGTCATAGTAACCTAACAGAAAAGAACCGAAGGAGATGAGACAAGTAATGGAAACAGGGCAAAATCAGGCTTCATTTCCATGGTAAATTTATTTCCATATTTGAAAATATTAAGTTTTTGTACTTTTAGAACTTTCAAATAGGCCTATCTAGACTGCATTAAGTTAAATTAGGAATTACCCAATCTGACTGCTGTAAAAAGTAGGCTACATGACCATCAGTGTTGTTACTTCATATAGTACATTCTGGAGTCAGCTAAGTTTAGCTACACCATGCTTTACCATGACATGGTGTGTGTATATTTATGTCCTTGTTGAAAGCAACTGGATCCCATTCCTTTTCAAAAATACATCCAACCTTAACCTATGTCACAGTTAAAAATGTAGGTGTGTGTGTGTGTGCGCATATGCATATGTATATATTTTTTAAGGTTTATACTTGTCACAAAGAAAATCATTTATATAAAAATTATAGCATTGGAGATGTGATTACTTCGCCTGTAATGTTCAGTATAGCATTAAAATAATTTATCTTGTATTTATTCAATTAAAAGGTGTTTTTATTGCTAAAATACCTTTAGCGTGTGAGAAAAGAGAGAAAAAAAGCATTCTTATAGTGAGTGGGGTTCCTTTTCCACAGATCTGCCAAGCTTGGCATGGTGGCGTCTCTTGCTTGTCTCCATGAAGATAGATAGACGAAGATAGAAGTTTAATGCCATACTGTGGAATAATATAAGCAACCCAATAACATCTCCATGGAGACAAGCTGTTGGCAGCCCCTTTACCAGAAAAGTTACATAGTGCACCTGAAGATTCTTATTTTCTGCAATATTGCAGGTACAGGGAGAGGTTTCAGACAAAGTACTTAAAACCATCAAAGTTTCCTTCACTCAGCTGGTACAAGACCAAAGATGACAGCTCTTCAGCTCCATCCTGGGCTCATGGTGGCATTTCCCCTGTTATATTTAATACCAATCCAAAAACCTCCATTCAAATGCCTAAACAGGCCATCTCCATAAAACAGGCATGCTTCTCCAGACAAATGATCCAGAAACAGAGGCGAAGAGAATATGTTGCAGCTGTGGAGGAAGAACTCAGACAGCCTTTGGCCCGATACCAACAATACAAGGACTATATGTCAGCAGAGGTAAGACAGATAAAAACAAAATATATTTAATATCATATTTGTTTAAATATTTATATATTTTATTTAATATTTTTATAGGTTTTTGACAAAGTTCTCTCAGTTTTGTGCCTGGATACATCCCCAAAGGACAATAATCCACAAAATGCAACATCTCATCTTCCTTTTGCATATATGGAAAAAGAAAAGAAATAAGTAATGAAATTACATTGGCAAATTGCAATAATACATCATTATCTAATATCTATATTAAATCAATAGGGCAATATTGCGTAAATGTTGTGAAAGGTTATAAAATATGAAACTATGCACTAATTAGAAAAATGTTCTATCCAGTGCACGATATGAAGCTATACTACCAAGAGTTAACTGTTTGGGTTAGAGGTGAGCAGCGTGTGTACAGGTGACCTGCGGCCGACCAGCTGTAGACTGGCCATAGTTGCTGAAGGAGTTGATGTAAGAGGCTCTGAAACAAATTAAAAGCTATGGTCACTAAAATGGATTGACCAAAAATTCAAGTTGTCAATTGAATAAGAATAAACCTTACCTTGAATAAATTGATTGTGGTGTACAGTTTCCTTTAGCTTAAAGGCCTTCAGATGGTGTGATTCACTGAAAACATTTTATGCACAGAAAAAAATAAAACAATAATTACATTCATGCAACGAAAATAGATTAAGTTTTAGACATTATTTTAAGTGGAGAAGGCCTCAGTGGAGTCAAGCTCCTCACCACTTTTCCATTGTATTTTTTTCTAGTAATAACACTGACACCAAAAACATGATGGCCTTTCCTAATTGTTCACAAAGGTGTCTCAAACAAACATTACACAAAGTTTTCTCTCTCTTTCTTACCTCCTACTGGCTTTTCTTTCCAGCTGGGTGCCACCAAGTACTTTGTCAGTTTTGTCAGTGAAACTGTACAAAAAGAATAAAAAATCACAAATAAGCACACGTTTTTTGTCAATCAACAGTAATGCTTTCTAGAAGTCTAGAGAGTCAACTCTAAACCCTCGCCACTTAAATGATTTGCTGCTTATTTTATTATTTAAATTACATGTCTTTCCCAAGTGACCTTAGCTAGGGTCTGAACAAAGCTAACTCTTCCAATATGTGAGAATCGAAGCAGACATACCATGCAGTACTTTGCACCCTCTTTGGAGTTGACCCCCTCCTACAGACACTGTTGGCATCAGTGATATTAACAGTGTGTGGTCGATGCTTCTTTACTTCATGCTGCTCTTTGAATAGTAGAGACCCAACATCTAAGAACGGACTGTCCTGCTGTGTTCAAACAAAATACAGTAACGTACGTTTAACTTCTTGTACTCTCTCTTCTCTCATCTTCTACACACACTTAACACAACAAGTCACATGTGGGTTAAGTTTTGTGTATGGAACTAAAAAAAAAAAAATTGTATAGCTTCAGTTAGACTTACATATAGTGAATTGCATAAATTTGGACTTTGTCCATGTATAGAAATAAAAGTGTTAGGATAATGATGATTTAAGAAGAAGAAAAGCAGATTGGAGCAAGTGATACCTTGAGGCCCAGGGTATGCTTTAACTTAAGGTGATAATACTCCTGGAGCTGGATACATTCCTGACAGCCTGCAAAGCTCTCATATATCTTTTAAGAATAAAAAATATGCAGCTATAGCAGAAAGTGATAGAGACAATAGTAGTTCACAGCAATCAACACTCATACACATACCTTGTGAAGTACTGCTTCAAGCTCACTTATTCTCTTCCTTAAATATTGGTCTCTTGATTTTACAGCCTCTAGCTCCTTGACAAGGTGTTTCTTCTCTGTTTTAACCAGTGCAAGTTCCTGAAACAGGCGCTTGTTTTTGAAGTTTTGATGTAGCTTCTCCTTCAGAATAGTAGAATAATAAATACAATAAACACTCCTTTTACTTTCTATCTAAACCAGAGATAGACTACTTATAATCTTTCATATTTGTCACCTGACAAAGTTTCTCCTTTGTTTGCTCTAGATTTTGGATCCTGCTTTGGAGAAAGTCAATCTGTTTTCTTCTATCAGTGATCTTCTTCTGCATGCTCTGGGCCATTTGGAGTCCTATAAGACATAAAACCAGTGTACCATCATAGAATAAAGTACCTTAGAGAGACAAATGAACATGTCATCCTCAAGGGAAATTAAATAGCTTTGGGAAATCATATCGCGATTTCACGTTATCCAACTCTTTCATCATCAAAATAACTTGGGATATATCTCTGTATATGGTGCTTAAGAAGTAATTCACTGTTATCTTTATAATCGCCTGTACAACAAAGAACCAAAGAAGATGTATTAGACATTTACTTAATTATTATACTATTTATCTACCTTGGTTGTCTTTTTGTTCAAGTGTCCTCAAAGTGCTCCTGGCCTGGTCCAGTTCTGTCTGGACATTTTTCAGATGGCTCTGGAGCTGCAGGACCACACCCTCCTTCTCCTTGTTCATACAGCTGTAGAGCAGCTGTAGCTCCTTATGTTCCTCTGAAAGTGTGCCCAGATAAACAGAAGCATTATTTCCACAGAGAGTAGCACACATTAACCTACAGGCCAACACATACAACCCAAGTAGCGCTGGGTGGACAAAGTAAACACAGCAGACATTGATGATTGTTGCTTTAATACAACATGGAAAATTTTCAAAAAAGAAACAAGTGAAATGGCAAGAAAGAATATTTTATAACGGTATATACAACATGATATATAACTGACATCTGCCTAACTCACCAGTAAGGCTGAGTAACTGCGTGCCTTGCTTCTCCAGCTTGATACTGAGCTGCTGTTTGGCCAGAATCTCCTCTTGGACACGCCGCCCATGCTCAGCTTCAGAGGCCTGCAGTTTGCACATCTCATGTTCAACAGCAGCCAGGTTTGACTTGTAATGCTCTAAGTCAGCCTATTAAAATATTAAAATGCATTAAAAGCAACACAAGTTTTAGAATGTTCAGGTTTTGTTGTGGCAGAATAAATGTAAAATTTGTATCATACAGTAAACTTCTAAAAAGGCAAAAAGTGTAAAACAGGAACTCATTCTATGAATTTATATAGTCTTAATTTTAGGCGTTTTTGATGCACTCACCTGGAGTTGCAGAATGTCCACTTTGAGGTCATTTATCTGGTCAGTGAGGAGAAGGATTTCCTGATGGAGGTTTTTGGAAGTGCCACAACACTGTACTGCCTGCTGAATATTGTGTTTGAGCTGGAACCTAAGGGTTTCATTTATTTTTTCGTAGTTTTGCAGCTTAATCATTAAGGCCTCTTTGTCTTTATGCAGCTTCTGACACTGGTCTCTAGCCTCAGTGATTGAGGTCATGTGCTGTGGCAAATAATATTGAACAGTATAAGAGGAAAATCACGCACAGCTTATAAATTGCATGACACTTGTTTTACCTTCAGAAGAACAGTCAAAACCAAAAAAAGCATAAGCCATTTGAGGTCTTTCAACCTTTTAGTATTAACTTTCCATATGGCAGTCACCGTTTTAACCTTAACTATCAGAAATGAACAGGACGCATTCCACAACCTGGGAAAGCATCAAGTTACAACCAATCTGCAACTATATCCCCCAAAACTGGACCACAAAATACAGATGAATGGCTCAAAAACCTCAAAAAACAAAAAAAAACAAAAAACTGAAATAGTGATCAACTAAAATTGAGCAAACATGTATATTTAGTGTTTTTAATAAATTAATAATTTTTTTCCCCCCTGAAAATATTCCATCAAGATTAAGCTTCATGGGACACAACCTGATAAACTAACTGATAAATGAAAAAGCAAAACATCTCTATAATATACAAATAAAGTTAGTTGGGGTCAGATTTACGTGCCAATATTAACCTATTTTCTGATCTCCATTATAGTATTGTTTCCTCACCACAAACATGCCGAAGTTGTATTTTGTTTCATTCACACATGTTTAACAAACAAATGCTTCATATTTATGCTGAGTTCTCCTCTCAAACGGAAAACATATTGTTTCACCTAGTGATGTCAATTGGCAATATTGGAAATGATACACTGTGTTTTTAAACTCCATGCAACTGAATCATTTTTTCAGCCCTGGAATTGCCCATTTCTCTTGACCTAAAGGTAAAAGGTAGATGCTAACTTGAAAACAACTGATTCATGACAATGTGGAACAGAGCATTTGGAGCTTTGGAGATGTAGACAGACCAATAATGCCAGATTACTCAAACATTTGTGAATGAAACAAAATACAACTTCAGATATGTTTTTGATAAGTTAGCAACATTATTACATAGTTTAACCCTCAAGAATACATTTTGTGTAATATGACTTTTAAATAAGAGAACAGTCATGATACAACAAAGGGTCTCAGTGAGTTTGATCATTTCTGTCCGGTTAAATATGCCCAGATAAAGATTTATTTATATATTGTAATAGAAACTGAGAATGAATAAACACATTGTTTGTGTTTTTGTAGCCCCTTAGGGCAATGTTGTCTGATTTGTTACTCCACACCTATTGTTCCCATCAGTAGAAAAAAACTGAATGAGGAAGAAACGCTCCAGATTCCAGTCTGGTTGCCAGGCTATTCAGACAGTACATTACCTGCTCAGATTCTTGCTGCTTGAGCTTCAGTTCCACCTTTTTGTTTGCCAAGAGTTCTTGAGATTTACTTTCTTCTTGAGCCCTGTTCTCCAACAAAGCCTGCAGACAGGTCTTCTCTTCCTCAGCTCTCTGAAGCTGCTCCAGTGCCACGGTGAGTCGTCCTTTTAGGACATCCATGTCCTGTTGATACCCAAACTGCAGATGCTCAGAACATGTCTGGAAGCAGCAAAAACTGAATATTGCTCTTTAATCATTCTTTAAGTATTTTTTTCTACAGTAGATATCAAATAAACAGGATAATCCCCTTATTTTAAAATGCTTGTATTGTGATGGTAAATGAAAACATAGTATTGACATCAATGTATGAAATACCTTCTTTTCCTTTAAGGAATTCTTGGGCTTGTGTGGCTGCTTGACTAATTTTATCTTTCCTCCTTGAGCATTCAAAAGATTGGCTTGAAGACAAGTAAGGTGTTCCTCTAGAAAATTAAACTAAAATCAGACAACACACAATTTTAGACAAAGTAGTCTCTGGCTGCAGGCAAAATGTTAATATTACCCTCTTTTCATGATCAGACAGAGTTTTTCTGAGTTCAAAGACCTGAGCATCATATAGTAATTGTTTTTCTACAAGTTTCCTTAAGATGTAAAAAGAATATTTCAAATGTAAGAAATCTTTGTAAACTTTTAAGTAAGGCGGCCTGTCTACTCACTTCAAAAGCTGCAGCTTAACAGCTAAACAACTGGCACTACTGCTTGTAGAGGAACTTAGTTTGTCAGACAACACTGCCATCTCCTGGCTAATGTAATCCATCAGCGCCACCACACTGTTAACACACACAAGTTAATGAGCATTTTCCAATATATCACATTTAAAAAGATTAAAATGGGTTTACAAATCAAAATACAAAATGTAGCCATTACCATTCTTCATTATTCACCCCCACACATTCTTGATGTCTAGGCTATCAGAAAGATGAAAAGGGAATATCTTACAAAACTGATCCTGTACTACTACTACTACTACTACTACTACTACTATCAACATATCTTTGAGGATTTCTAACCAATTTATTTGTATCTGGTTGTTCTTCTTCCTTATTAAAATTATTCTGAGGAGCAGGTGGATGGAATAGCCTCAGAGATTCATCATCAGCATAGTTACTGTAGTGCCTCCAATGTTCCTCAAGAGAACACTGTGTATGGTGCTCAGGTAACATCTTCTCCAGTGTCGCTATTTTCCTGTTAAGTTTAAGAACTTCCTCTTCAGTCTTTTGCAGCATTTGGTCTCCACACAATTTTGCAATTTGAACTTCCTCCAGAAGGTGCAACATCTTTTCCATTTCTTCAACATGGTTCTCTGAGTCCTTCAATCTAAAAATTAAACATCTGCAGGTTAAAAAAAAAAAAAAAAAAAAAAGCTGTGTTTTAAAATAAAATAAATAAATAATTCACCTAAATTCTGACAGATTTTTGTTCATTTGGACTTTCTGGAGTTCTGTAAGCATATCAGCAAGTGGCTCTCTAAAAGTATCTTGTTGTCCAGATGGCTTCATAATTCATATGCATGTAAGACAACCATAGACAACACATTGAACTGATTATGTTTAATAATAACAAGATGGGAAGCTTTATCATAACTAAACACACACCTCATTAATTTCGAAGATTTCCAGCTGCTGAATGCATCCATTCATTTCATTTTCAAACTCAGAATATTCAGATAATTCAGAGAACTTTAATGATCCTGGGGCTTTTATCTGTTGGTTGGGGTCTGTTGTAAAAGGTTTGTTGTGGGCTAATTCTCCAAGACCACTACCTGCAACCATGGCTATAATGCAGACTGCGCCACTGGATATGTCATAAAATAATTGTCAGTGTTTCTTCACTTACCAACATTAAACAAGCCGCTAATATGGGCACCCAAACTCCATTCGGTGGCATTTTCCACGACCTCTTGAAGTCGTTGTGATTCTTTTGTACACCTGTCCAGCTCCAAACTGATAACATATAAAAGTTTGCAATCATGGCTTTTATACAGCGCACACCTATGTACTAACATAATAAACTGAACATTAGTGTTAACGCTACCTTATTTGGTTTAGTGTCAAACTGGATTTAGAGCTTTGGTTGCTCGTACAATCTGGACATTGGTAACCTATTTAAACAAACATTAACGTAACATTAGGCGATTTGTGAGATTTACAAATGTTAAATTAACATAATGTTGTCATTTTCTTACCAAAAGTTACCGTTTCAACTGGTTGTTCTAATAATTTATCCATAAGGGCATATAACAAGCGCCCGGTTGTTTAATTTGACTATATTAGTTAAGTCACTTCAGTGACTTAACTAATATAAGTGCGATTTTAACATCCTAAACTAACATCCTAAACTGCTAACAACATAAACTGAGTGGCTAATGTTGAATGTTAATAGCTAGCGTTAAACGGTAGGTTGGTTGACTACGGGTTGATTACCATGACAACGGAATCCAAATTTAGCGTGAATCCATGGATGACGAGCTAGACATTTGTCAACAACTTTGTCAAATAAAAAAAAAAAAAAGGATATTCAAAGTTGCCAATACAATAATCAAGACAACACATTTTATATGAACAAACTTTAAGGTTACCGCCCTTTTTCTATTTTTACAACGACGTAATGCACGTACGCCAAGAAGGGGTGCATGATGGGAAACGTAGTTTTAGAAAATATGCATTTGTTTGTGAAAAACTGTAGGCGGGGCGTATCCTAGGCTGTTTTGAGCAGTGAATCCGGGGACCGTAAGAGAAGACGCGTCTTCGAAGCAAATTTTTCGAACCCCAGAGATAAAATGGACCTTCGACATGTATGAAGCGTACGAAGCTGCATTGTTTCTTACGGCTTCCCCCTACCACCAGCCTTTGGACAAGGTAGGCGACGATCATACGACCGATAATCTGGGTGAAAAAGTGATGTCGAGCAAAACCGAAACGAACGTAAAATATAGCGACATTGGATTAAAATGTTTAATCCAATCCACCAACTATTATGCATTAGATTATATTTACTTTAGGATGGATCACTTATTTTATCGCAAAATATTTGCTTTTACTTCCTTTTAAGCTCTTATAGAAGAATGACCTACATTTGTTTCTCGTTATTTATGTTTTGCATTCTACATTTAAAGAGACTATATAAACGATAGTTGATATAGTCGATGTTATACATGCATTGTATATATTTATAACGCAATTATCCTAACATGTATAGAAACGTTCCTCTTTTGGGAGGATAATGGTAGTAGCAGTAGTAGTAGTAATTTTCAGATACCACACCCCTCAGTGCGAGGGGGTGTGGTTTGGAACCCTGGTATCTATTTAGATGTATTTATTTAGCTACAGCTTACATATACTTTGCATTTTGGTGCAGATAATAACAAGTAAAACATTATTTTTTGTAGAATGAGGGATTTCCAAGGCATCGATACTTCACTCTTGAAGGAGCTGAAGTCATGTTGTGCCAAAGAGACCAACTTTCTTCCCAGGGAATCTGGCCTCAAGCTGATGGAGTCACTCACAGAGGTAACCCAAGGATCTACTTTTGCAATTTTGAGTTGCTTTTCCAGTTTGTCACTGTATGTATTGTATTTTAATTATGCCATTTTATTAATATTGTTCCAATTTCAGGATCATAATGGTGTCTCAGCAAAATCCAGAGACACTAGAGTGGAAGATCTATGGAGCCTGACCAGTTTCTTTGGCTATAGCACACAGACGTTCGTTCAGTCTGTTAGTTTGCTGGACAGATTTCTTACTATTATGAAGGTAGGAGTTCTCTATGTTGTATAGTAGCACACTCATTCTGGTTACCTTGTCAGTGCTTGAGTCTTGTGATGTCAATGTATCACTAATGTGTTATATTGACAGGTGCAGCCCAAACACTTGCCCTGCATTGGAGTTTGCTGTCTACACATTGCAGCTAAAATGGTAGAGGAAGAGGACAATATTTCACCTACTCATGAACTCATCCGGATCAGCCAAAGCAAGTTCACTGTGTCAGATCTTGGTCGTATGGAGAAGATCATCTCTGAGAAGTTGAGTGTGGAGCCAAAAGCTGTGACGGCCTTAACATTTCTACACCTTTATTATAGAGCCTTTATGTCCATGATTTCCCCAAGGTGAGTACCACTTACACTTGCATTATAAATCACTCTGTTTTATAAGGCATCACAATAGAATTTCTTATGTTTTTTTTAGAGAGGAGATGCCAAGCATTGTGAGATTGGAAGCCCAACTGAAAGCCTGTTTATGTCGCCTGGTTTTCTCAAAAGCAAAAGTAGGCACTGATTTCATCATACAGTTCAATTGCTGGTCTGATCGTTTCTGATCTTTTCTTTATTTCTTTGCTCTGAAAGCCATCTGTGCTGGCACTTGCCCTTATTGCCCATGAAATCGAAACACTTAAGTTTATGACCTTGTCCAAGATTGTGCAGCAACTCCAAAGAAACCTCAAGGTATAACACACATTTTCTAGCGTGTATATTGCAATAAATCCCAGTTGCATTCCAGATTGGGGAAAAAATATATTTCTGTTATAAGACAAAACCGTTATGTGTCATGCTTTAAATTATTTCACATTTATGTCACTTGATTTGTTTATTATCAAAATGCATACTAACAAAGCATACATTGTCTACGTACATACATAATTCTTGTTGATAAATGTGTGTTACATTTCAAGTTTATGAATGTCATTGTAAAAGTTACATGTTTTTTGTACACCATAGATAAGTGACAGCTTGCTTTTGCACTGGAAAGAGCTGGTGGCCAGCTGCATGGCTGCATACTGCTCAAGTGAGTGTGTCAAGCCCGACCATAGAAAGCTGGTGTGGATTGTTTCGAGGAGAACTGCTCAAAATCTTCAGGCCAATTACTTCAGAGTCCCCATCCTGCCAACCATCCCTGAGGGAAGCTGGGATGAAATTGAAAGGTGAAAATACATATATATATTGTATTGTTGTTAAACGTCTGTACGGTCGTTGAACATACATACAAAATACAGTGAGATAACTTAGAGCCCTCTTATTATACAGCACCTACTGTTTTAAGTAGATCCTTAATAATTTTACTGGCCCATAACAGCAATGTCCTTGCTGTGCACATATTCATACTTTTGTGCATTTCTTTGTAGTGAGGACTCCTATGAGGATATGAGCAGTGGAGAAGAGAGTCCATGTGGTTCTCCAGGAAGTGATGGAGAAGGATCATTCTTTCTTACTTCTTTTTTGAAATGCAGAAAATAATGTGGCAATTCTAGTAGCTATGTATGTCTCATCCTAAATTGTAATGCAAGTTTTAAAAGGCTAATGCTTTGAAGGTCTGTGAGCAGTGCTATGGAAAAGACAGGTGGCATGTGAACGTCATCAAGTGCCTGTATTTTTTAAGTTGACTGATTTTTGACGTTATGCATATCATTTAAAAAGGCAATATCTTGGCAGCTTAAATGCAACACGTCTATCTCTAAGATGCTTTTTGTTTGTGTCCAACCCTGGCACATTCCAAGTGAAAACAAAGCACAAGGGAATTTTTTGAGGTTTGAGATAAAGTAAATGACAACTAACAAATAGCTACATTTACTCTTTACCTTTGGTAATGTTTCAATATCTGTAAGAGTGTTAGATGTATGTGACATTATAGTATTGTAATACTATAGTAAAGTAGGGGGCGTAAATGCATGGTAATATATGAAACTTTATGAATGGTTGTACCAGTAGAAACTGTAAAAATTTTGAAAAAATGTATATAATTTGTAAAAACAAGAAAAAATATATTTGTTTGTGCATTCTGTAAAATGTGTATTGTTAATGCAATATCATTAAAAAATACAATTTTCATATTTATTTCTGTAATGATGTTTTTTGTTGCTATTTTTCAACTATTTTAGGTGCATCTATTTATCGCTAGATAAGGCCCTACTTTCATTCTCCTGATGTCCGGGCAGATCGGCTTGTGGTGAGAAGAAGTCTATGCATGTAGATATGTATATCCTTCCAAAAAAAAAAGGCTGCCCTGGGCAATAGCTGCAGTCTGAAATCCCAGCCAAGGATGGACGGGATCGGAAGCGTTGAAAACAAGCGGCTCTTGATGACGAGCCATGATCCAAGGCACAGCTTTTGATTCTGAGCTCACGCATGGAGCCAAATGCCCCTGTTCCCTTTACTCTGTCCGTCTCGCTCTTGGACGTTTTATCCAGGACCTGCGGATGTATGAAGGACGGGATACTGAATAAGATCAACAATGGAAGCATAAATTAGTTTTTACTTGTTTATTTTATACATTTTGGTATCACATCAACGCTATTGCCACCTAATTTTATTTGCTAAATATATGTGGTGTCTGCTTTTTTCTTATTTTTAATAGATCCATGTTTTTTATCATATATTTTTTCGATTTGGTAAATTCAATAACTGACCTTTAGCACCCCCTGGTGTTTTTTTTTAGTATAACACAGATCTTAACAGCAAACGATTGGAAGTAAAGGCTAGAACAGTGCGCCTAATGCGGATGTTTTATCTTAAAACTGAATATATAGACTTCAGGCCCATCTATATGTTTAACCCAGTGCGCACTATTGCTAATTTTTTTGTGGCGAGGAGTCCTACGATTGCTGCCCAGAAAACCAACGCTTCGCTCCAGCTGTGAACGGGGAATGAAAACACCAAGATGGTCCGCATCGCCAAAGCCCTGGGATTGGTTATTCTATGCGTCGCAGTGCTCATTCTCTCCCTCATCAGTTATGTATCGCTAAGAAAAGACAACCTATTCACATCCTCCAAATACTACATGGGAGGACCAAGGATTATGTTTCATGCAGGATTTAGGTGAGTATCTTTATCACTTTGGATAGTCTACTCTGGCCTGTGTGTAGTGATGTATCCAGGACGCAGAAACGTGGCCGACTGTTCACCATCCAAGCAATAAATCTGACTTAGACTTATTTTGCTGCAGGGGTAGGGCAATGCACCGTCCATTAAAACTGTAACTGTCCACGGTGCTGATCATGTCCCATATTCACCATTTCATGGATATTAGCCCACCTTTACGATGCAGTATATTAATTAACGTTAAATAACAGCCTACTTGTTGTTTGTGTGGCTAAACCTTCATCAAGAAGGCCATTCCAAAATAAAGCTCTTGCAAATGTATGTATGTACAACTATCCATGTTAATTAACAAGACAACTTTTTTCCCTTTAGATCTCAGTTTGCCATGAATTTTCTGGATCCTTCCTTTATTCCGCTGACAACGGCCCTTAACGAAGAACTACAGGGCAAACCATACAAGTGGAAGTTCAACAAGACCGCTTTCTATCAGCAAAGGTAATATATTTGCCACACATAATGGTCTTTAATGTGCCACTGAAATGTCTTATTAAAAAATCTCTGATTGGTTCTCAGATGTTTTCATTTCTTTTTCAGGAAAGACATATTTAATTATATTGACATTTCCAGCAACTTCAGCCTGACAAAGGACAGTGTGCGTGTGGGCCAGCTAATGCACTTTGACTATTCCAGCCACAAGTATGTCTTCTCCATAAGCAACAACTTCAAATCTCTACTTCCAGACACATCCCCTATACTTAACAAGCACTACAGCGTATGCTCCGTGGTGGGGAACAGTGGTATCTTGACGGATAGTCACTGTGGACCAGAAATTGATCAGGCTGATTTTGTTTTCCGCTGCAACTTTGCCCCAACTGAGGTTTACTCCAAAGATGTGGGCAAAAAGACAAACCTAACTACCTTTAACCCCAGCATCCTGGAGAGGTACTACAACAACCTGCTGACCATCCAGGACAGAAATAATTTTTTCTTAAACCTGAAGAAATTGGAAGGAGCCATTCTGTGGATACCAGCCTTCTTTCTTCATACCTCAGCCACTGTAACAAGGACCCTGGTGGATTTTTTTGTGGAGCATAAAGGGCAGCTGAAGGTGGAATTGGCATGGCCAGGAAATATCATGCATGATGTAAATAAGTAAGTTGTTATAAATATGCTGCTAGATTATTCAAATCTATAAGTAGGTTGTTCATATCATTAATTAACCAAATAACTGTTTGATTCACAGGTATTGGAGGACAAAAAACCTATCACCCAAGCGACTCAGCACAGGAATTCTCATGTATACTCTGGCCTCCGCCATGTGTGATGAGATCCACCTTTATGGCTTCTGGCCTTTTGGCTGGGACCCCAACACTGGAAAGGACCTGCCGTATCACTATTATGACAGAAAAGGGACCAAATTTACCACCAAGTGGCAGGAGACCCATCAGCTGCCCAATGAGTTCAAGCTGCTCTACAAGCTCCATAGAGAAGGTGCAATCAAACTGAGTTTGACGCACTGCTCCTAGACAAGGTGACCCACATACATTCACCCACTTTGGACTTCTACTGTTGCACATAAAGCATGATCAGTGTTAAAGATACTTTTGACGCCTTCTTTACAAATATACATTCACACCCCAGTGTAATTTCACATGAATGTGTTGGGATTTTGAAGGATTAAATCCACCGACAGATTGACGTAAAGGAGTGAGTGACTGGAACCATGCCTTGGCTAGGATCAAATATTGGTTATGTATTGTGTTTTACACTCAATGTGATTTTTCCCGAGGCACACCACGGTTACATGTTTTTGTTGTTTACATTTATCTCATAATCTGCAGCAGGGGCGGCAGGGCAGCTTACTGGAACGCCAGGAAAAGCCCCCCCTCCTGGTTGTAGGCATCCCTGTGGGGGGCCAGCTGTTTTTCCTTTTTCTGCTATAGAAGGCCAATAGTATTGTTCAAAACTGGTTTAACACTGTCTCGATTATGTACACTGAATTCACTGCCTTATCTCAGGGAAGGAGTTAGATCAGTGTTTTTGTAATCTGATTCAATGCCTCAACTCAAGAGGAGATTTTCTTGTTGTTTAGTCCTTGTTCAGATGTCAGACAATCAGCACTCCTCTTGCTGGAAAATGTTTTTGTTTACAAGATTGTATTTTTTGACAGTAAAACAGTCAGCTATTATCATAACATTTGGAATAAACATTCCAAAACCAGCCATACAATTCCAGGACTCTGGGCATTTTGGGGAAGTGCTATTAAAGTACAGTTATACAGGTACGTTAACTTAATCTAAGTTACACTAGTAATAACCTTATTTGGAAAAAGGGATCACGTGTCTTGTTTAGAACAAAAAGAATCACCCTCAACTCACAGTAGGATTTCCACTATAAAGTCTACAAAGCTCTACTGTTCAGAAATTTAGACTGTGGGAAAGACACAAATTATGAACAAATAAATAATGAAACAACCCTGATATTAACATTATTGGCATTTTGTGTGATAACGCCACATACATATTTACATTTAAAAGAATACTTTAATTTTGATATTTTAATAGTACAGTAACAGTATTGCCAGTATTGATTTAATTTGTTTTTCTTCTCAATGAAATGCTAGTTCAAGCAAATTTCATATTTTCATATTTTCAGCATTTATTTTCACCAGAGAAATTAACATTATTTACTTGTCAAGAGAAGTTGAATATATTTATTTTGTATTATTCTGGATAGGCGAAATTTACTAGTACTAACATTTGAGTCCAAAAATACCTGTGGCATAAGCAATGATTTGAATGAATAATATATGCAACTTATGGCATCTTGCAAGCATGATCCATGAAGTGTGACATTGCATGTGAGAGACACTAACACATACTTTAGGCAAGTTTTTTAAACAAATGTACTGTTTGTATTTATTGTTTGTGTACTCAAAATCTACAGTGACTTTTTCAAATTACATTTTGGCTACAACAAGGGACCAAACATCAGTAACAGTTATTTTTGTCTTAACAATACAATAAAGAGATTTATGTTTTATATCTCTACTCAACTTAATAACAAATATCCCTTAGTGCCAGAGTGCTAACAGATTAACAAATGGAGCTGATGACTGGGTCCAAACAGAGAAAGCTAGCCTCATGACTGTCTTATGATTTCTCAACACGTGCTCAAAGCTGCAAATACATTTGTTGGAGCACTGTACTGTCATTCAACTTCTGCTGTAACTAATGTGTTCAACATGGGGCACTTTCAGCATCGACCAATGTTTGTCTGTCTTCTATAGTACAGGAAGATACATTAACCACAATACATAAATGTAACCATTTATTTGTGTACTTGTTTTGTACCAAGCATGCATGCAGGGCACCAAAGACCTTGTGTTCATATGTAATCTAAAGAAGTATTATTTTGGGACTTTTATAGGTTAGGAAAAATTGTTTTGAAATATTTTGAATTTTATTTTATGTTATGTGGAATACTCTTTGCAGTGCACAAAATATTCTGCTTTTGATTTAAGTCAGTGTAATGTAGACTTTTTGTAACTTTATGAATGTTCTCAAGGTATTTATTAAGAGTGAAATGTGCGCCAGATGTTTTACCTTCTAAATGTTAAATTACATAGATCTTGAAAGATAATACTCTCTGTAATGATTGTAATTATCAACATACGATGCATTGGTGCATTCTGATAATACATATATACATAACAATTTATTAAATATGTTGATTTTTAACTGCCATAATACAGTCTTGTACTTTGTTCAATCTGCATGTCTGTCTTGTTCCAGAATACATAAATCCCATGGCTTTTTATATGCAAGCCATGAACCTACAACATGTAAGGGGGTTTCTGTCCTCATTCATAAATCATACATGCAGTCCTAAATGGTTTGATTATGCTCCATGATAAATATGTTATGTGCCTGTATTTCTTACATAAATGCCTCAGTGAAACAATAAATCACATTCCTCTGAGATTATCTTCACTTTTCTTTACTAAATAATCACGATAATACTACTGCACATGTTAAAATTAACTATCAAACATTTATTTACAGTTTGCAAATGTTTAGCAACATTTTCTTGTGACAGCAGCCTCCTCCACCTCATGGCTTGATGCAGGACTGCCGTTGGTCTCTGAGGCGCGACCAGTGCTCTGCTCCATCCTCTTCATTACAAGCCCCAAAAGAGTGGTCACAGCTTTGTCCACCTCAGCACCTGTCACTGCACTTGTCTCAAAGTAGGGAATACTAAAGAGAACAAGGAAAATCTGTTTTACAATAGAAAAAAAATTAAAAAAACAAAAACTAAGCAGCTGTGAGAGCCTTGTTTTGCAGTGATATTCTAAACATTATGTTTGTGTAGTCTTTTCCCAACCTCCAGTAGTGTTCAGCACACGTTATTAGCACCATCTTGTGTTGAATAAAAAGTGTGAACATAACTATGAATGAGCATATAAATTAGATAAATATTATTGCTTTGAGTAATTGCTTTATGTTTCAATTTGAATAAAATTTGTCCTGCTGCATTAGCCTCATCAGGAGCTCACCTGTATCTGTCAGCCAGGTCCCGGGCCTGCCTGGTGTGAACATGTCTCATGTCACGCAGGTCAGCTTTGGTTCCCACCAGCACAATGTCTGGACTGTCACAGTATGCATTGGCCTGAAGCTGACCTTAACCACAGAGAAATGCCATGTTTCATAATTAGACTTGTCAATGCTTCCTAAATTCTTATGGTCACACATTGGTACAAAGCTAAGGGAAAATGTAGCACTTACTCATCCAGTTTCTGACATTGAGAAAGCTTTGTTGGTTAGTTAAATCAAACATCAGCAGAAAGCCCATTGCATCTCTAAAGAATGCTGTGGTTAGACTGCGAAATCTGTAGATTAAAATATATTACATAAGCAATATGTTATATATACAGTATGCTATATACAAATGCACATTGCCTGTGCCATCATCACCTTTCCTGTCCTGCTGTATCCCAAAGCTGAAGATGAACCCTAAAGTTTCTTTCTGTGATTCCATCAGCACCAGTGCCTGTGTATGTCTATAGTACACATTACATGATATGTGAAAAAGAAAATTACAATATAATTATAATGTTTACAAATAAAAATGTGATTGTCACTCACCACTCTTTTTTCCCTGAAGTCAATTCCAACTGTAGTAGTAAACTTGCGGTTGAACTTGCTGTCTGTGTACCTGTATAGGAAAGTGGTCTTTCCAACCCCAGAATCTCCGAGTGCAAGAAGTTTGATGAGATAGTCATAGTCCCAATCAGCCATTGTATTCTCCTAGCTGCTTGGTCTTACATATCAACACATAATTTGGCATAGACTGACCTTAGCAGAGAACAATTTTTACTGCCACGTTACTGAACCATCATAACAGCTTTCAGAGACATCAAAACTGTGCAGTCTTTGCCACTGATCTGGGAAAGACTAGCACATGACTTAAGCTGGATTCCACATGAGCGGTCAAATGCCTCTCCAGACTTTTCTGACTGCCGAAAAGGAAAACAGCCTGTTAAGCAGACAAATCTCCCTTATTGACTTAAAGAGCTATGGACAAATCATTTGTTATGAGTGAGCTACTGTATCCAAATAATTTCCCTTGTGGATCAATAAAGTTTGCATAAATCTAATCATAAATCTATATTAGAAAGACTTTTTTTCATGTACTTAGCTCTATTTTCAAGAAAATAAATGCTATTTTGAAATCGAACACTAGTATAGTCCTCAGTAGCAGCGCACAAAAATCAAAACAAAAACACTAGTCTATTTATTGCAATATACTTGAAAACATGTGCAAAACACAGCTATTCAGAGTGTGCTGTATTAAAATATATAAGCAGGTGACTTGAAATGTGTATTTGTTGAAACTTTCCTTTTGTATTTAACCCTGAAAAGTGTAAAACAAGAGTGGACCAGTTGTGTGTTTACAGACTTTGAGTTTAGCGGAATTTCTTGTGACCACTAATGCGTTGAATGGATGGATTGTGACTAAAAGAGAGTATAATACTGTAACTAGCCAAGTGAAGGCTGGCCTTTTTTCTAGAGGCTCAACAAAATAATCCCACCAGTAGTGTGAATTTTTTTTTTTTTTCCTTCAAGCACTTCAGTGTAACTACGTAAAGTCAATACAAATAAACATATGTTCTGAACGTGCAATCTCAATGTACTAACATATTTCAAACAGATTATCAAATAAATCAAAGCCCAGATAATAACTGAAACTAAAATATTGTAAAAACTAGATATAATCATTTGAACAGGAATCAATACAATACTTTGTCAGAATTAGTAAGACAACAAGGTAATATTACATAAACTACAATTTTGTTTGAAAATGACATTGCTAGATATGTAGAAAAGCACACACACACCCACACACACACACCCACCCACACACACACACACACACACACACACACACACACACACACACACACACACACACACACACACACACACACACACACACACACACAAGCAAACAAATAGGCACTGATTCTAGTGAGGTTTGAAATATTTCAGCAAATTGTTTGATTGGCTACCTTTCTCTGTAGTCTTTTTGTCTTTGCCAGTCACATTTTTTGTGGGTTTCTTTGAGGAAGGTGCTTTTAAGACTGGCTTATCTTGCCTCCATTCAGACATCAACTCCTTTTGAAGTTCTGGTGGAAGTTCTGCAAACACTGTTGGGTCCACATTTCCAGGCATCTTGACATCAGACGATCCCGGTAATGACAAAATGTCTTCTGTTTTGAGGTGCCCAGAAACAGAGCCCCAAGGCCTTATAGGATCTAAGGTTGTTGTTGGTTTCTTTGGTGAATGCACTTCAGGTAAAGCACTTACATTTTTATATAGCAAGTCTGTGGAGGTGTTAAACTGCATTAGTTCCATCTGGATTTCACGAGGAAGACTTCTCAATACTTCTGGATCAATATTTGGAGGCAAAAGAGTTATTTCAGGACTACTTGTTTCTTCCTGTTTTGACCCAGTATTTAGGCCAGAGTGTCTGGTGAAAGAGTTCTCTGTGTTTGTAAGGTTGAAATCAACAGTTTCTTCCTTTGAGATCTGTTGTGTAATAGAACTGTGTGGGTTGGATTCATCCACATTACATCTTCCTTCACTGGAATTTGAATCACCCTAAAGACAGGAGCACACAAAACATACAATACAAGCGGTTTCTCAACATATGATAATATAGCTTCACTAAATAAGCTAATAGCAAGAAACTGTTTCATGCCAGATTCTTCAATGTAGTCTTGTAGTTTACAAGACAGCATTTACCTGATCCCATGCTGTGCCCGTTTTGGTCTTTTTTGGAGATGGACTTTGTCTGAAGAAAGACATTAAGGAGCTTTTTCCAGAGGCAGAGGTAGAAACTCTGGCCTGCAGGTTACTAAAGCACATGTTGATGAGAGTAAGATGGAAAGCCTTATTGGTGTCCACCATCTTCTGAAAAAGCTTCATAGCTAAAGGTTTCAGCTGAACCACTGCATCATCAAATTTACCTAAAATAAAAAATATATATATTTTAAATGAAATACAAAAATAATAATAAACTATACATATTAATTTAAATATTTTTATTTTAGCAAAGCTCTGACTTCTGTAAGTGGTTTCAAAATGGAATCCAGCCTTACCATTGACAATTTTCTGGCCAATATGGTTTGGGATTGGGCTTTGTCGACTTTCCCGATTGAACCATTTGTTTGTTGCTGAATATCTACGGATTGTTAACCGCAAAGTCTGTGGCTGCCTTCCATCATTGTGCATTCTGATATTGGAAAAAATATTTTTGTAAATAAACTATGAGGCAAAAAGTCTAAATAGAAAATATTACACACCGCTCGACTAAAGTTTTCAGTAGTTCTTGAATCTTTTCAATGACTTCTTTAGTTGATGACATTTTCTTAAAAGAGTCTTCGTCACTAAGTGACTAGACATAATGCATAAAGATACAAAAACATCAATGATATAACAACAATAGTGGTTCTCATGATAATTTCCACACCTGTGGTTCCCCAGTTGGAGTAACACTTGAGTCATCGGTGCCAACAGCTAGGTTTTTCAGTCGCCTCGCACTAGGCTCTCCAAACTCTCTCACCAAATGATCCAAAGGGAAAAGCTCTAAGTCCTTAATGCTGGCAACTCCTAGAGCCTGAAGTCTCTTGGCAGTTTGATGCCCAATACCTGAGAAGACATAAAATAAAATCTAATTAAATTGAAGGATTCTTTTTTTGAGCAGTTCTGTGGTGTTTGGTCATAAAGAGCCACAGCTGTACCTGGGACTTTACGTAGACTGTTCAAGCTGCCCATAAGGCTGCTTACATCTTCTGGCAACAAAGTAGTTTGTTGGTTTGGTTTGAAGGTGCCTGACACAAGTTTTGCAAGCAGTTTATTTGTTGCAATTCCAGCACAACCAGTGAGGCCCAGTTTACTGTGGATGGCTTCTCTTAATTCTGCTGCAATGTGAGAACCAATAGCCAGCCACGGGTAGATCCTAGCTTTGTCTTCTGAAACTAAGTGACAAGGTACTTTAACACAATATTTAATATTCCAGCTGTAAAATGATTTTTATTGACTTGATTGATTATATATTTAAACATACCACTATTATTGTAGACATGACCTTTAAATGAACAGGTTTTAGATTGTTGCAGCCGTCTTTCCACCATCTCTGTGATGTCCATAAAGTTCTCATCAAATCCAAGCCTCTCCACCAATGGACAGTACGAAGCAAGCAGTTCTAAATGACGACACAGATAAAAAGAATCATAAACTGTTAAATTATACTGTAATACATGTTTGCTTTTTGAATACAACAATTGTGTGAATAAAAAAGACCAGCTGAAGTGTAAAATATGATAATAACAATGTTGCATATTATAAAACAACTGCATGCCTATACTCATAGGCAACCCTACACTCCCCCCTTCTAGTCACGCTGACCTCTGGGAAAAACAATGCTCAATGAAAAAGCTAGCGGCATATGACAAGAATTTTAACAATACAAATGGACTCAAGAAAAGTTTTTTTTTTTTTTTAAATAAATCAGCTCTGCAAAATTTCTTATGATATAAAAAAAGAAAATTCAGTCTGATCTGTTAAAATGAAAAATTAACTAGAGCTGCAATGATTAATTGGAATAATGACGAGTAGTTGAATATTAAAGTAAACATGATTGTTTTTTGATAACTGTAATTAACTGGCCAATTTAGACTATAAAACATATGCCAAAGGACGGTTTATAACATTTATTATTATAGAAAGAAAATTTAATAAAATCTCTATCCAGAAGCTGTCTGTCACCATATTGCAATCTTTTCTTGGTTAAAAAAGTTGTGAAAGTTCTGTAGTTGCAGCCCTACACTTGAGCTAATTACAGGTTAAAGAGCCCATATTACGCTATTTTTTGATGTCAAAAAATCAAAAAAATGGCTCAAGTTGTGTTTTGTTTCATTCACACGTTTGCACACACAAATCCTGAGTATTTAGGCTGAGCTCTTCTCTCTTCCATTTTGTAATAGCAAATGCTCCACTGTGTTTTTTAAACTCCATACACTTTCATTAGAATCATTTGGATAATTTCAGTGCTGAAATTCCTAATCTCTATTTAACAAAATGTAAAAGGTAGCTGTAATCTTGAAAATCACCTTGCGTTGCCATTAAGCAGTAGAGCAGTTGAACTTTGGAGAAGTAAATAGGAGAAGTAAATAGCCAATTAATAAAGGATTATTCAAATGTGTGAATGAAACAAAATAACTCCAAGTATATTTTTGAAGTAACAACTTCACAGAAGCCAATTTTGTGTAATACAGGATCTTTAAAGTAAGTAGCATCTCACCTGTTACTTTGTAGGACATTTCTCTGTAGTGTGTCAGGTCTTCTCCTTTCACCAATACCAGTTCAGGACACTTCTCTTTGGCATCAATGACAGACATCAGCTTTGTAACACCACGTTCTCTAGCCACATAATTACACGTGACTATAATGTACTTTTGCTGAACACCTGCAAAGTTCAAGACTATTAATTTGAATGAACAGAAAGAGACACTGTATGCAATAATTTTACCTAAAGGCACATTTCTTAGTGCTGGATTTCTGATCATTTCTACTTGAGCATAGAAACAATCCATGTCGAAGTGCGCAATGACTGAATAAGGAGCTGACGAACACGTCGTATTGCTTGATTCTGAATGACACACAGCCATTAGATATTGGCAGAAATCAGTTTATTGTTATGCATTCATATACCAACCTAATAAAGAAAGAGCAAGGCTTTTTGAACAGGGAGCCTTCCACTCTTCTTCGTCCTCCTCCACACCACTTTCCATGGTAGTAAAGGGATAAACGAATGCTTTTGGCAGCAAAAGAAACCACGGAAATAAAGTAAAAAAAATAGACTGACTGTTGTATTTTTGTTGTGACTTGAGGCTTCTCTTCCTCTTTGGAACGGTAATGACGGCGTTCAGGTAGATTTGCGTATTATTGCCCCCTACTGTCTGATCGAAGTACTTCACAATGTCACGTTACAGTTTTGTTTTTTTTAATATTTTATGGATCAGTGATGACTGTGATGGTCAAAGTCACTTCACACATTAATCATTAAGTTATAATTATCAGAACAACGTGATTATTTAAAGTTTTGGCGGGAAATGTACTGATTACGCAATTGGGGCGTAATTTAACGCAGCTGTTGCTCAGCTCTAAAAAGGGTCATTTAGGTTCTCCCCTTAAACATTTGAAGTTAACTCAGCTAAAGGTCTGATTTTGCTGATGTTCCCTTCAAGCGGCCTTTTTGCAAAAATAAACTGTAGTTTATCTGAACGCGCACTTTGTGTACGACCTCATTGTGTGTTCAAACATGCCAATGAAGAACAGGAAAGGCACACGTGTGACTTATCGGATAAACCAACGACAGACTTGACAGGTTAGTGTTCTTTGTATGCTAATAAAAGCGGGACATTATTATTAGACCTTTTGCTGCTTCATGTCTTGCATTAATTTATTATAGACTGGCCTAACCATGGATGTATAATCCTGCCTCAGATTTAGCTGTGATTGTGATTGTATGGGACAAGGTTCGTTGTCAATCCCTGTCTACTAATGTTTGTTTGTCGCAGCTACTGAAGAGGCCACTGACGAGTGCCTTCAAGAACTTGAGCGGATAAACCGGGAGATTGAAAGTGTGAAGCACCAAGTTGAGGAAGAGCAGAGGAGACTTTCACACTACCAGAGTAAAAATGTAGCCCAAAATTCATATTCTTCACACACCTCTCCTTCAGCTCCTCGCGCCAAACCAGAAAAGTACATACTCGACAGTACAAAGCCTAGGACAGATTTGGAGTATGACCCTCTCTCCAATTTCTCTTCTGATCTGCGCTCCTACTGCTCATCAAATAGGGAGCACAAAACTAGAAATGGGCAAGATTCGAAAAGAAGAGGACGAGCTACACTAAATCAAAGGAAATTAAATGTGCAGGCGCCCCCACCTCCAAAACGGTCTCCTGAGCATTCAGATTCAAACGAAGAGGACATTTTAATAATTGACATTCCTCCTTCCCCTGACAAAGTTAAAGTCAAAACAAAAACAGTTTTAAACTTGGCCTCTGTTAATGTAAGTGAAAAAATCAAAACTGTGGAACAAAGCGAAAAACCTTTAAATGCAATGTCTTCTAAAAATGTTACAAGCAATAACTTCATACCAACTGATGAGAATATTTTTGTTAAAATGAATCAGCATTTGTCTAATTATCTAAACCCACCACAACCATGTGAACAGAAGAAAACACTACATGATAGAAACTCCAATGCTAATGCTCTCCCAGTTAATGAGGCTCCAACAAGTCAGATTCAGAAATCTGAAGCTCCTGGTGATAATATAAACACTGGTGATTCTCCAAACCTACTATCGATCAAATCAAGAAAAAATCAAGAGCAGAACCACCCTATTGCACCGCAGCAACTACAGATGGTGTTTGTTGGGAGCCTTTGTGAACCTCAGGATATTTTGGCAGCTGCAAAATTGACAAGTAATGTTGAAATGCAGTCTGCCATAAATGACAGGCAAGTCCCATCCAAAAAAGAACAAGTTATAATGATTGACTCTAGCACTGAAGATGAACTAAATTACTCAGATTTGGATATATCTGAGAGTGATCCAGATGAGGAATGTTACAGGATTTTTATGGAGGCAAATGGAGAGGACCCCAACCTTAACCCTAACTGTAAGCCACCTGAACCTCCACCTGACTTTGTAAGTAATTTGCTATAGATATATCTATATCTATACATCTATATATCTAGATATATATAGAGCACCTTTATATACTAGGGCCATAATGCAGAGGCAGAGAAAGTAGATGTCAGTTTGCCACTGCCAGCTGTATTGGGAAAGAAGAGGGTTGCTCACGAAGCCAAAATCACAGATGTAAGTGCAAAATTTACTTTTAATAATGATGATAATAATTTGCGTAATATTTTTAGGGATGGGGAATAACCAAAATAACACCTGGGCATAATTTCTTTGATATCATTAGCAATGCTCAATACTGGTCTCAACCAGTTCTTAGATTTATTGAAATGCCTTCACCCATAAATTATGTATACCAGTGGATCATTTAATTGTGCTGCTGGTGAATGCAAATTAACACAAAATTGCTATAAGGCAGTGTCCTACCAGTAACTTAACCAAAACCGAAGAAACCACTTTGAGTGTCAAATTTTCACTCTAAAACTTTTGTCCATTTGACAGATTGGAATTTTGTTTTGCTATGGATTCTTCCTGGCTCCTTGGAGATTACGGACACAGAATAAAGAAATGGCCCTAACATGCCTTAGTGTACATGTTAGTTAATATTGATAGCATAACAAGACCAATGCCTACATTTATACTTTTATGTCCATTTGTTCTTGTAGTCCCTAATGCTTTTAGTATACTTTTGTAGCAGTCGGGTACGAAGGTCCGACCACAGCCCCAGGTTCTTGTACCCGTACGGGCGCCAGTGTCCTCAGCTCCTCTAGCACCTGCACTGCCCATGATCCCCAAAGTGGAGCAGGAGGCTTCAGTATTGACCACGTCCATCAGAGCAGGACAGGCCTCGATTTCCAAAGGGCGCTCTGAAGCCCAATGTGCACAAACCACCCAGTGTTCTGCCACAAAAAAGCCAGGTAAATGCATCTTGTTTGACATCAAGAGCTTGCTGTTCTTTCAGTATGACAAAAATCACTAAGTATTTCTTCCCAAATCAAATTTTCTTTATAAAATAAAATTTAAATATTAGTAATTAACTTCAACTGCTGTGCTAATGCTCTGTGGTAATGCTAACCAGTGCCACACAACTTTATTGTAAACTTTATTCACAAGGGAAATTACTTGGAAACGGCTAGGAAAATAAAACCATTCTTAATAAGCTAATGTCAAATCTGAAATGTATAGTAAAATATATATTGTATTGTGTAATCTGTTAAAAAATGTAATGCTGTACATGTAGAGATGTCCAGTGACTCAACTCTACTTGATGATTGCATGTCATTTCTTATCCTATATAGTATCATACGTCAGTTATATTCCTCTGGGAGCTACAGTGATTGATGTGGGAAACAACCTGCACTTAGTCCTGCCAGAGGGGACTTTCTCAGTGTCTGACAGCCCTGGACAAGTTAACTCAGTCCTAACTCCCATTACACCAGCGAATACACACTCAATGACCATCAGACAGGCTGGTCATCCGTCTGCACCAACACAACAGAGGTGCACCTCCCAACCTGTGATCATCCCCCCTCTGGCTCGCAGGCCAATCATGGCCACAACAAGCGCAAATCAGTGTTCCTCAACTACAGCTTCTGTAGTGAAGGTACTTTACAACATACTGGTAGTTCTTAATGGAGCTCAACAGTGACCGGCCACCAATAGGTTCTGGAAATTAACTAATCTTTCCCATACGTAAGCTTACACAGGGCTATTCAGATACAGTAAGTGGTAACTAAACGCATGACCTAATTATATTTAAAATCTAAGAATCTTTTATTAAAACATTTCACCAAATTTGACATGTCTTTTTACACTCATAATATTTGAAATTTTCAAATGGGTGGGACTGTTGAGCTCCACACCAGTTTGAAATCTTTGAAATCTTATCTTAAATATTTTGACATGCAGCCAGTTGCTACAAAACGTAAATTAAAGCAGCAATGTGAGACTGTCAAAGTGCCCCATGACATAAGGCAGAGTTATGTGAATAAGTTTACGGAAGAGTTTATGAAGACCACAAGTAATGTGAATGACGCTTTTGAAAAGGCAAGTTGCCAATTTTATACAAATCTTTGTACATCTTTATAGACCTAAAATTTAACATTTTTAGGCACTTGCTGAGGAAAAGACTGTCTATAATCGTAGTGCAAACAAATTAAAATATCTGAGTGTTGCTGTAAATGCACTGAAGAGGCTCAGGAACCAAAGTTGTGGAGCAGTTGAAGGTGAGGGGTCTTTCAGAGAAACGGTAGTAGTGGAGAAACGCAATGTTACCAGTGTGTAAATGTGTATCTGACTTGCAGACAACCATCAAACTAGTCAAAAGACAAAAGGCCACATCCCATTGAACCGGAGTATGCTGAATGGAAAAGGTAAGACATATTATTGTAAAGAGCATATTGTTTAACTCATGTATTTTTGCTCTGGCAGGGGTGGTAATGTTGTATGAGTGTTTAAAGGACTATGTTTTGACTGAGGAAATGCTGATTGAAAGAAACTTTCCACTCCAGAATCCAGAAAAACCTGGAAGTGCTATTCTTTTTGCAGACAACAAAAAAAGCACATCATATTGTAAGTAAAAAGCATTTGGTGTATATTATCTATTATAAAATTATTAAAGAAAGGTCTAACAAAAAAAAAAACTTGCAGTTTAATCTTTCAAACTGGCGTGTTTTTGCATTTTGTTGCCTATTGTTCCTTGTCACTTTGTCTAGTACTTGACCCTCAGCTAAGAAATGTACACACTTGGGCATATCAGATGAAAATGTTACTTTAACTACCGGTAGTTATGTTCATTAGCTACCACTAGAGGGCACACTATCCCTATTCTCGACTGTTGTACAACGAATAGAATAAGTGTTTTTAAAATATTCTGTTAGCTTTACTTATGCTCTGTGGAGGGTTACTGCTTAATGTCTGCAATATAGATTTGCATTATAGTGCCTAAATATAAATTTGACTGGGACCCCATTTGATATATTCAGTATTTAAGAGATCCATGTTTTTGAGCAGCTGTTAACTTTTTTGGTTTATTACAGCCCTTCGGAAACTGTGCTGCCGTTGTGGTGCTACATACTCTGTGAGTCGCACAGGGAAACACACTCGAAAGGAGGAGTGCACTTATCACTATGGAAAGGGGGTTGAAAATAAAGGTGAGCATGGGCAATTGTATTGATACTGTGAAAATAAAGAAATAAAGTGTTATCCTAACGAGTTGTAGAGAGGCAGGAGAAGTTTATCATTTATCATCAGTTCAGACCCAGTGACTTGAATACTCAACACTGTGTTTAGTATTGGAAATATAAGCCTGACTATGCTTCCACACAAGGTTTAAATGGGAGCTAAGGACAGTCGGGAGACAAACTGGCTAAGATAAAATGAGAAATGTGTAGCACACAATTTCTGTAAGATGAGTTGACCAGGGAAACTGATAATACTATAGAACAAATTCCACAGCTGGATAAAAACCACTTACATTTCCCCACTTTATTCTCTAGTGCCTGGCGGTGTGGAGACACGCTACAGTTGCTGTCAGGGAGTAATGGGATCACCTGGCTGCCAAGTGTTCAAGGTTGTGTTCGGTTTACTGTTTTGTTCAGTGGCTTGATGTTTCACAATTTCCTGTTTGTTTTTATTTGTTAGCTGCATGTGTGTAATTCCTTAAGCATGGACGGGTTTGTATCAACTGCACGAAGAGATCCTGCAGATAAAAGCTGTCCTGGAGTTTTCTCCTTGAACTGTGAAATGGTGAGGCCCTTTTTGAAGTGGTCAGATGTCTTTGCATAATTACATTTCATCACCTGCTTGTCACTATGGAGATGTTGCTTTGCATAATGTTCTACAGTATGGCATCAAACTTGTCTATGAATTTTTTTTTGAAACCGCAAGTTTAATAATTGCAAGATAAGTGTGATGCCATACTATGGAACATTCCAGAGAAAATAACTTCCCAAAGGAGAAAAGTGGATGTTGAACACACTCCAGAAGTCGCAAAATCCACTTTTAGTAAATGTGCTATTAAAGCATAAAATGTTTTGAATAGTGTTATACCATTTATGGTTTGGAGTTGTCAAGAGTGACTGTGGTCAACACCAGTCTTCAGATTGTTTATGACACCTTTGTGAGACCAAACAACGAGGTAATCGACTATAATACAAGGTATGGAACTGCAGTATGTTGAAGGCCAAAGAAATGATAACAGCTGTTGAGCAGTGCATGCACATCTGCTACACAGGTTTACTGGGATCAGTCAGGAAGATGTGGAGAGACACTCTCACTCCCTTAAAGAAGTCCAAGATGCTCTATTAAGCTTCATCAGTGCTGATACAATTCTAATTGGTCACAGCCTAGAAACAGACCTGTGTGTTCTCAAGGTGAATGTGATAAAAGAAAATCTGCATCAAAAGTATAGATTTATAGATTGTTTTTATTTTGCTCTTAAATGTAGATACATTTTTCACATTTTAAAGGATGGATGTTCTGGTTCTCAAAACAATTATTCAATTGGAAAAACAGAATGAGCCCTGTATTTGGCATGGCAGTTTCAATGCTGACATCTAGTAGTGAGAATAAATGGCTGTTGACTGACTGCTAATGAGTTGTGATTGTAGTAAAACTACACTTAAGTGGAGCCATTTTCAATTCTCTAAGCTCATGAGTTGGTGTGGGCAAACAGGACATTCTGTGTTTTTTAAGAACCTACTGACCACGTGAACACTTGCCTGAACTAAGACTGATATGCTCTACCACATTATGTACCACAGTTTAATTTGTGACATGCAAAGTAATTTCCTTTTTTCCCCTCAGTTTTTGTTATCAATGTTTTGGAAGAAATGTCTTTTTCATTTGTTATGTCCCGTGCCCATTTTTTTAAATCAGTTTTACATCACTAGAGATCTATAATAGATCCATGTTTTTTTTTTTTTAGTTGCTACATGGAACAGTGGTGGACACATCTGTGGTTTTTCCCCATCGTCTTGGTTCCCCTCATATACTCTCACTACACAACCTCACAGCTGAATATCTCAGAAAGATCATCCAAGAGAGTGGTGGGTTGTTTTACTGCAGTAAAACATTGGCTTGAAATGGTCCAAATAATATACAGAATCTTTTAAAATAAACCTAACATGAATATTGTACATGTTTTGGATAATCTCCTCTCCTATACTTTGTTTCAGTGTGTGGCCATGACACTGCTGAAGATGCTGTTGCATGCATGGAACTTATGATCTGGAAGGCCAAAGAAGACAGAAAACTGAAAAAATTGCAATAAATCTAATGCACTGTTTACTCGGTATAGAAATTACAAATGCACCGTACACAGTTATGATTATATTTTAAGTTTTGTGTGGGACTTTTTTTTTTTTTTATGTTTGTTTTCATGATCTCAAATTTACTTTTTCCCTCTAAATGTTCAGTGGGTCTTGGGTGAACTGGGATACTATGGTGTATAAGTAAAGTCAGACAATTCAATCTGGTGTTTTTCCAAGTCCTTTATGTGAGCCAATCAGCAGCTGACACATCACCTACAATCAGTGACAGGTGTGCTTAAAAGTCAGACCACCTGGCCCTCTAGAATTTTGAGGTTTACAGTGTAGTTACACACGTTTTAATGCTGCTCCTCCAAAAAAAAGGGTTAAGAATGTAAGATGATAAAAAATATAGAGAGTACATAACAAATTATTCTGCTTTTGTTTTTCTGTCCTTTCTGCTGCAGCATTTCCACAAACAAAACTTACAAGTCTTGAGTAAAAGATAAAGGAGGAGCAGTATCACAGACAGAAGAAAAGCGGCCACATCTAGACAATGGTACTGGTACCAGGTAAGGTTGTGGGCTTCCACTCTCAGATGTTTGGCCCCTTTGTTTCTCATCGTAAACTCAATCCAGAATACAGCTTCATCTCGAGGATTTAATGGTCTGTCATGGTGGATAGCTGAAAGGCGCATGGCGTTTGCTTTATAACTAGATGGGAAGTAAAGATTTGTCATAAAATTAAAGTGGGGTTTTTCTTGATGATGGTAAAGAGTCACACAGCAACTTACGATTTGTCATTGATTACAGTGTTGATGGCATTTCGTAGATCCTCTGGCTTTATGAAATTGAACTCCAAAGAAATTGCAGCTCCCTTTTCTGTCATATGGAGCATGTTTTCTGGTTGGTCAGCAAACACTGGGAGACCCACCATAGGTACACCGTGGTAGATGGCCTCGTAGATCCCATTTGTGCCCCCGTGAGTGATGAATGCTTTAGTCTTGGAATGACCTGTTTGAAGTGAGCACATATTCTCATGAGGTTTTGAGATGAGCCTATTCCTGAAATGAATGCTCATTTGGTGTTTTAAAGCTACTATATGTAACGCTCGTGGGGTATGGTTTGTCACCTACTTGTGTCTCCATGGAGATGGACGGCTATAATGCCATAGTGCATAACATTCTGGGCAATGCAATAACATCTCCATATAGACTAGTTACATAGTGCATCTTTTTAAACAACAGATTGCAATTTTAAATGAGTAACAATAAATTACCAAGTAGGTCATTTTGTGGAATCCAGTTGTAAATTCTTGTGTTGGCACCCAGAGTTTCAGGTGTCTCCCCACTGTATCTCCAAACCACCTGAAAAGGTTGACCATTTTATTCATTTATTTTCATTTTGCTAAAGCTTATGACTTTGTATCTCACAGCTTATTTATTGTATGTTTTTTTCCCCTTAATGACACATGTTTATCTTACCTTCTGTGGTATCTGAGCGAGGCCTGAAGCTATCATGGTTGCTTTTTCTGCAGTGATGTTATTGATCATGGATCCAAGTGTAAAGACAACAATACCAGCATCTCCGGAACTCTCCACAAACTCTTCTAGATCCTGTGATAGAGGATCTTACTACTCAATTGCAAGTTATTTTAGATTGACATACTGGCGCCACTGAAAAATTTAACTTAAAATAAAAAGAGACTAAACCTTTGACTGCAGCACATTTGCTTGCCATTTGAATGTCTGTCCCAACTCTTTATTCTCTAATCGTACTTAAAACACTTTGGTGAGGGTAGTCCAATAGCACCAATATCTCTAAGAGATTAGGTGGATTTTAGACTGGCAGCCAAAGCTAAGAAAGCCTCTGCTTAGGTGAAAACAGAATGTTAACAGCTGGTATCTATACTGATGACAAAATATCCTTCTCTAAATATATATATGAGGTCAATATAAATTGATTTAGGCCTGTGTTTTATTAAAACCCTAAATGCCTCAAACCTATGTAATATGGACTCTCTTGACCAATGACACACATACTATGTGAGAGGATTATGAAATTTGGTACAAATATTCCCAACATGATGTGAATATTAACTGGATAGTATTATTTTGTCATAAATCCATACATATATGTATATATACAGTTATATGTAGTTGTCATACAATATAATATATATAATGATTATATAATAATTTGCCCAATAATTTTGCTTTGGTTAGTCAAACGTCACAGTCAAGTCAAAAATGCATGTGTGCATGGTCTTGTTTAAACTAGGACTGGAGCAGGACCCAAACCACATTACGAACAACTAGGAATGTTGTTTTTTCATAATTTAAAAACAAAAGGCCTAAGTCAAATGTCATCCATCTGATCCCACCAAGGTAACACTTGCAGATATGCTCACCAGTTTTTAGGGGCAGAAGACAAAACACAAGCTTTACTATAGCCTATACATTTTATCAGTGGTGCCAGTATTACTTTCTAGTTAAAGGTGTCTTGATGAATTTATACTGTTAGTTAATTTTACCTTGGGTAAGGGTTTAGCGGGTCTGCAGTGAATCCCACCCACATATTTGAAGTTGGGAAGAAAAGGATGTGGAAAATTAAAATCCCAGTAAGTTCTCATGAGCCAGATTTCAGCTTTGCTCATGAGCTCACAAGCACTAGTTGGTTTCCCTGTTAAAAAAAACAAAACAAAAAAACAAATTTTTAGCACATTAAGTGACCAGTAACTTGTTTACACTGTCTTTTTCTCACCTTTGATGTCTGTATAATATTTATCCAACTTTGACCAAATGACCAAATCTATAACAACATCATTCAATGCATAGTAGAGAAAGTTCCACACTCGCTCTGAAAAGGACATCTTGTCTGTCAGTTTACTCATGGCTCCTGGGACAAAAGAGGGTGGAGCAGGAACCTGACCACAGTGCCTTTCCCAATTATTTGCTAAAGAAAACCGAAGAGAGAAGACCAGCGGTATTCCCAAAATATCTGCAACCAAGTCACTTCCCGGGTAGATGGGATCAGAAAACAGGAGATCGTATTTGCCTGCTTTCAATTTGTTCATTAACTCGTCTGATTTCACTACTCCGTCCAAAAATGCCAATGAATATTTCATGTCAGTTTCCATGAGTTCAATAAATCTCATGTAAATCTGCAAGTAATTCTTGTGTTCCATCTCATACATGGAGAACTGTAGAAACTCCTCCATGAATTCCTCGATTTCTTTCAATGAAACTTCAACAGAAAAGAGCTCATAGTCGAAAAGTGCCTGCTCACTTGTGTTCATATACAGGGACGCGCTCGGGGTCAGGACTGTTACCTGGTGCCCGCGATGGACCAGCTCTTCCAGCACTGGCTTCATGTTGATCCAGTGGCTTCCTTCGGTGTACCACACCAGTATTTTTCCTCCACTGATGGTCCACGGCAGAACAGACAGCAGCACGATACACAGGTACAGTTTCATGGCGTCCGTCTGTCAGTAGAATGCTGTTGCACACACTTTCGTATTGCAAACTGAAGAAACTAAAATTAACCAGTTACACCAGGACTCTGCCTAGATTTCCTGTGGGACAGTAGATAATTGTTATGGAAATCTTTACATCAATAAACTTTTACCTAGTTTAGGCTGTTCTAATGGGAGGTAAGATGTTTAATATGCGAGGTTATCGCGACCTCTAGTCTCCGTGTCTTGTGTTTACCTTCATCTTAGCCCTTATTCTGCGTGATGGTGTGCTCCTTATACGCAGTGTTGTGCATGAACGCGTTCATTGAACACGTCCATTTTTCAGTAAACTTTGAACTGAACGCAACACTTTTGTAAATCAAGAACTTGAACGTGAATTTGTTCAAATTATGTGTGATGAACGACGTGCGTCACTGTTGGGGTTCAGTTAAACGTCGGAATTTGACGAGTGACGATCTGCTCGCACTTCACCTCGCGAAACCACAGCCGCGTGTCAACGCGAAGGCGACTCCACCGGCAGCTTTAGCGGAACGTACGGGCTCTTCTGTCTCAATGGGAAGTCAATCAAATTTGACTGGGCGCGTTTAGCTGCTTGTATTTACCTTCTGTACAGGCTGACCACGGCAAACGCAAGGATTTCAAATGTAAATTTCGAAGCACAAATTAACAGTCTATGTGGATCTGGGCTCTTTCACATGATACACAACTGCCGAGGGAGCACAATGTGCTGATGGTAAATGCACAAATACAACAATAGATACATGCTTTCTGTGTATTTTGACGGGGACGTTCGTGTAGAGCGTCAAAAAATAGGATGGATCGTATTTTCTGAAATCTACACGCACAGGACGTGCTGCTCCGCGCGCGTATTATTTTACTTGGTACATATGTTATAACGCGCGTCACAATGCTTTTTTAACGTGGATTGAAATGGTGGGTTTTTCGTTTTTCTAAATACAAATTTGCTAAAATCACCGCGATATCAGCAGCGGTGAAACGCCGGAGGTGCACCCGCGTAGACCGTGATCCTGAGCGAAAGGACCGACGCAGAAGTCCGCGCTCCACCGAGATAAACGCAGCTGACGCCCGATCGCACTCGGGGTTCTCTCAGAGACGGTCCTAGATTCCAAGTTCTAGTCCAGGATTAGTCCTGGTTTGGTCCTGGTTTAGTCTTGGTTTAGTCTTGGTTTAGTCCTGGTTCAGTCCTGGTTCAGTCCTGGTTTAGACCTGGTTTAGACCTGGTTCAATTCTGGTTCAGTCCTGGTTTAGTCTTGGTTTATTCCTGGTTTAGACCTGGTTCAGTCCTGATTTAGACCTGGTTTAGTCCTGGTTTAGACCTGGTTCAGTTCTGGTTTAGTCCTGGTTTAGACCTGGTTTAGTCCTGGTTTGGACCTGGTTCAGTTCTGGTTCAGTCCTGGTTTAGACCTGGTTCAGTTCTGGTTTAGTCCTGGTTTAGACCTGGTTTAGTCCTGGTTTAGTCTGGTTCAGTCCATATGTATCTACAGTGTTGTGCATGAACGAGTTCAAAAGAACACGTTCATTGAACACGTTCATTTTTCAGTGAACTTTGAACTGAACGCAATACTTTTGTAAATCAAGAACTTGAACGTGAATTTGTTCAAATTATGTGTGATGAACGACGTATGTCAACTGTTGGGTTCAGTTAAACGTCGGAATTTGACGAGTGACGATCTGCTCGCACTTCACCTCGCGAAACCACAGCCGCGTGTCAACGTGAAGGCGACTCCACCGGCAGCTTTAGCGGAACGTACGGGCTCTTGTGTCTCTCAATGGGAAAGTCAATCAAACTTGACTGGGCGCGTTTAGCTGCTTGTATTTACCTTCTGTACAGGCTGACCACGGCAAACGCAAGGATTTCAAAAGTAAATTTCAAAGCACTAATTAACAGTCTATGTGGATCTGGGCTCTTTCACATGATACACAACTGCCCAGGGAGCACAATGTGCTGATGATAAATACACAAATACAACAATAGATACATGCTCTCTGTGTATTTTGACGGGGATACGCGCCTACGCTCGTGTAGAGCGTCAAAAATAGGATGGATCCTATTTTCTGAAATCTACACGCACAGGACGTGCTGCTCCGCGCGAGTATTATTTTACTTGGTACATATGTCAGTAACGCGCGTCACAATGCTTTTTAACCTGGATTGAAATGGTGGGTTTTTCCTTTTTCTTCATACAAATTTGCTAAAATCACCGCCCGCGATATCAGCAGCGGTGAAACGCCGGAGGTGCGCCCGCGTAGACCGTGATCCTGAGCGAAAGGACCGACGCAGAAGTCCGCGCTCCACCGAACTAAACGCAGCTGACGCCCGAGCGCACTCGGGGTTCTCTCAGGGGTCCTAGATTCCAAGTTCTAGTCCAGGATTAGTCCTGGTTTGGTCCTGGTTTAGTCTTGGTTTAGTCCTGGTTTAGTCCTGATTCAGTTCTGGTTTAGACCTGGTTTAGTCCTGGTTCAGTTCTGGTTTAGTCCTGGTTCAGTCCTGGTTCAATCTTGGTTCAATTCTGGTTCAGTCCTGCTTTAGTCTTGGTTTATTCCTGGTTTAGACCTGGTTCAGTCCTGGTTTAGACCTGGTTCAATTCTGGTTCAGTCCTGTTTAGTCTTGGTTTATTCCTGGTTTAGACCTGGTTCAGTCCTGGTTCAGTTTGTTTTCTGGTTTAGACCTGGTTTAGTCCTGGTTCGGTTCGGTTTAGTCCTGGTTTAGACCTGGTTTAGTCCTGGTTTGGACCTGGTTCAGTTCTGGTTTAGTCCTGGTTTAGACCTGGTTTAGTCCTGGTTTAGTCCTGGTTCAGTCCATATACGGAGCAAAAGTTCAGCATCTTAACAGTTCTTTTGGTGAGAGTAAATTAAAAGTGCTGCAATAGTCGTGTAATGTTTTACATTTTAAATACAGTAATATTGTAATGTAACAAATGACTTTGAATGACAGTAACAAGTCATAAATAACACGTTACAGTTTAAAGTCACTTGTCCAACAGTGGATCTTGTAAAGTTGTTGTAAACTATAAGTCAGTTTGAAAAATAAAAGCAGCCTTTCATTTACAGATCTCATCTAAATATAAAATGAACTGAACTTTGAACTAGTTCAAAATTAAAATTGTGAACTATGAACGTGAACTATTCACTTTGAACAAGTGTGAACTGAACTTTGAACTAGTTCATGAAAACTGTGAACTTGCACAACACTGTGTATCTATGTATATGTATGTTGCTA